TATGATAGACTGTAAGAACTAACATGTCAGCTAATCCATAACTTCAGTAATGCAGAGTATAATTGATTTCATTACTGATGTAATGTATGCATGTATGTGTTTGATAAGTAACTTGCATTATACTTTACCCTGATGTAGTAAAATCAATAATTTGCAATGAAAACTTGAACAAGGTATTCAAAGATAATAATAAATGTTATTTTTTACAGGTATTGTCAGTATTGGTGACAGCGGCAGCTGTTGCAGAGCTTGTAAACGCAGTGTCAAAGTCATCTCAGGAAAATGTTGTTTCAACCAATGATTTTGTCGCTCCTGTTATTCTCATGAGTTCTTATGCAAGTACAAAAGCTAATTCATTGCATTTTCTTTATTACTATAACTATTCAGCAGAATGTGAAATCAGACTTCTATTAATGCATCAACAATTAGATTTAGCAATACAAATTTTTATTAAGTACAGTAGTTGATTAGTAAATACAGTTTTGTATTACTAAGATTTGCAGAACTATATAAAAGTACTTTATAGTGGAAATCTATAAGCTGTTTTGCTAATGAATAAGTTGTATTGAATGAAGCTCTGGTTTTGAAGTTGGATTATTTATTAAGTTTTCTTTTTGTAAACATGTGAAGTGTCATTTGTTATTATATATACAATTAAATAATGTACTGTATTTTAATTAGAACAGTAGCTCAAAAGATATTTACAACTCCATGACAAAAAGGGGTTTCTGTACAGAATTGACCTAAAAAAACTTGTTATGATTTTTTCATCAGAAAGTGATAGTGAAATACATGTATTTTAAATATGGGCGTTATACTTTCCAGATATTGCAAATGATATTGGTATTCCTGAGTCATAAGTATGGAGACAGAAGCAGCGGACTTGTGTGGCTGTTTTGGTTCCTGCAAGTCATATGTGGTGTCCCGCGCCTCAAGTCTACACTCTCATCCACTGCCAGCCCCGTAAATTTTATAAGGCATTCTTTTACTATCATATTAATCTGATATTAAAAGGAGGTTTCAGCAGTTATATGATAAATATAATTATATTCTGTATTATTGTACTAGTAATATACTTTACCTGTACAGTATTTCATATCTAATATAAATTAAAATTTATTCTGTTAAATTTCTGTACTGTATATGCTGCACCACAAGAAGTGGATGGATCAAGCACAACATACACTAACTTTAATCTCATGACAAATATTGGTATACTGTATATTGTATAATGATACAGTATTGATTTGCCATTCTAGTTTACATTGACCTACACAAAATATAATGCCGTACAAGCAATAAGCCATTTTACTTTACAGGATGGGAACTTGGATACAATAACATTCCTTGTACAGTACATTGGTGGTGTTGTACTCTTAATTGTGAACTGTTTTGCTGATAATCCTCCTGACTCAGATGGACTCAGCAAGGTAAGCACTTAGAGTCTGATATATAATGCTTCCTTTTTTTTACTGTTAACCACTGTTACTGTAATTATTTTAATAATAACAATAATACAGACAACCACATGCTTTCTGGATGCCTCGGTCCCTTAGACCAGGTGCTTAACTTATTGTGTTCATAAAAGTAGGTACAGTAGTCATCCTGAAAAATGTTAGGAAAAATTGGCAATTTGTTGTGAAACTTTTGACAATTATTGCAGTTGTACCCACTAGTATGAGGAATTCTGGTTCTCTTATAGAGCTGAACAGTGTTATGGAAGCTACTTTAGCCATCTACTGGCATACAAACACTGCTCCGGACTTTTCAGTGACATGATATTCCATGGCCATGAGCAACCAGTATGCCACTGGATTTTTCATCTCTTCACACTTCTGTCTGTACCACTATTACACTATACCTTACAAAATGCACCTTAGCTTTACTCACTACTTTTCTATTATGTATTGCTTTATCACTTTCTCTGACAAAGTCACAGATACAGTAGTAGCTTTAGCCTTAATAATATCTGAAAGCATAGTCTTTGCTCCCTTGGCACTTGTTGCACACATCACCTCTTGGAATAATAATACAGAAAAGATTAACTGGGCTTACATATGGGAGAAGACAGCAGGAGAGGGTGGCCGAGTCTGAAGAATTTGTCAATGAGGTATTTCATAAAGGAGCAGACAAATGGATTGAACCTAAAAAATAAAGAATAAAACTGCAGATCCTGTGAGAACAATGTGGTGAGCTAGAAACTTTAGCAGATTTCCAATGTCTTCCTCCATCATTAATGGCTTTGGGGAGACATTTGAAAATTGCCTTACTGCACCAGGAAGTAATTGTTACCCCTGGCCTGGCCAGCTTGGTCATGTCCTTGGGAGAGAAATCAGGTGACCTACACAGAAAAGAGCTTTCAATCTACACTCGTCTTCATTTTAATTTTGGCTGTATCTTGTCCTTCCATGTTTTTACATTACACTTTGTATGTTTGTGCCAACATCAACTTTCCAAACTTTCTATCATTTTATTGCTCATTGCAGGTTACCATTGGCTATTTCATGGGTTTGATAGCCTAAATGAAGTACTGTACTGTAAAATTTTACAAAAAAAAATTCAAATGCTTCTCCAGAAATCTCTCACTGTCTAAAGCAACATTTCTCAACTGGGGTTCAATGAAATCCCAGGTACCTTGGAGTTCTGCAAGAAATTGTGATAAATAGGCCAATTCTAATCATATGTAAATGTATTTTTGAGTCTTTTTGTGTTTAATTTTCTCATTTAACCAGTATCAAGAGCAAAGACAGAAATTGTCTCCTTTCACTTGACAATGAAATCCATGTGTGTTTATTTAAAGTAGGACTCAGAATTTTTTCCTGGGTTGAGAAATGCTGGTCTAGAAAGTGCTGAAATTTCTAAGAAAGATTTTACATGTCTGTTTTATAAAGAAGAATTAATTCCTAGAGAAATACAGCAGCAATGATTGTAAATAGATATAGCCTGTTCATACTTAAATAATATGGCAGCAAAATTATTTAAAGTTTTCTTTCCACACATTGAAGGTCTACCCAGAGCAGCATGTGTCCTTCATAAACAAAATAACCTTCCACTGGGTGAGTGGCCTCGTGTGGTTGGGTTGGAAACGTTCCCTGACCCATGATGACCTTTGGGAAGTCCCTTCTCATTGTACGACTAGTAATCTGGATGCTTTATGGAGAGCAGCTTGGAGTAATGAGCTCTCAGTAGCCAGGTGAGATTAAAGGCAACTTTAAGTTACTGTGAAAATTATCACAAATTTTAGATACTGTATAAAAGATAAAGAAACATTAATGGTAGAAAAAGCTATTTCTAAGCTGATCATTTGGCCTCTTCCTGATACAAGTGATCCACTTTGTTAAAAAACAGGATCAGACACAGTCAGCCAAGACAGCATCCTCCAGCCCATCCTCCTGTTTTTGTAGTACAGTACTTATAGTAACAATGAGGACCATAGTACATATACTGACATACAATGCAATTAGAAAGTAGAAATCGGTACTGTTGAATTTGGAAAAACTGGAAAAGTTTTCTATTTATGTTGCAAAGACAAACTAACCTAACTTAACTTTATTAGGCCAAACATCGCTATCTGAGGCCTAATATAGTACATATGGGTGCAAAACTAGTAGGGCCATCTTAACAGCATTATGGGCCCCTGAGCAAACTGGTGTGCTGGGGGCCCCTACAACAACCACTCACAGGAATAAAACGTAAATGGTCGATAATATTAAACATATATTTATTTTATTGCCACTTCAACAAAACTGGTGTTAAAACATTAAAAACATGCTGTAGAGCAGCAACTAATCAACATGATAAACATTTGAACAATACACAAGGCTTGAAAAACACAATAATACGCAGTAAGCTACACAGATTAGATGGCACAGTAAGAAATTACTATGAATTCTTATTATATCAAGCATTTGTGGCATTTCTTTTCAGAGAATTGCTTTAATATAATTGGCTTACAGTCAGTGGTTTTCAGGATGTCATTTTCCATGCATATGAGTGAAAGCCAGTTCAAACGATGCTGCCCTATTGTGCTACAAAGCAGATTTTGTATAAGTTTCTGTATTGAAAAAGAGCGTTCTCCTGTACAGTTAGTCACCATCATGCACTTAGCAAATATGCTGTAATGCACTTTTGATGTTCTTCTCCATTTTCATGTTCCACAATAACATTGCTATGCTTCCAGTCATTGTCAAAAATGTCACCTGCTGCAGCAACAGGCAATGATGGTATGTCTGCTGAAACTGGATGATTGGTAGCAGGAATGGATGTAGATGTGGATGCTATATCTGAAGGAACAGTACTACTGGCTGTACTGGCTACTGACTTTGGGTGACATTGTAGGTGTGGATGCTGATGTGGATGCTATATCTAAAGGAATGGTACGAGTGGCTGTCGTTGCACCTGTGTTGAGCCACAATGTTAATTTTGGAAATTTTCCTATTTTCTCCTTCTCTGCAGCTCTCTTCTTCTTCTTCTTCTTCACTCAAAACATTACGTTTTATTTCTGCTGAAAGGGTTATTCATCTAGAAATACATATCTTAAATATTTAGTATTTAGTCCCACACTAGGATGTAGGGTTATATTATATAAGCGTGCTTGCAACAAGACCAAATTATTTAAACATTCTGCTTCCATAATGAACATGTCCTATGCTTGTGGGCCCCCGGGCCAAGTACCCATTGTGCACATGCGGCAAGACAGCTCTATATACCAGCCACAGCTACAAGGCCTGGGAATATTCAAGTTTGTTTTTAGCTTCATTTTTTGGACTCTTATAAAGTGAATACACTATAGTACAAAATTCTATCTAATTGCTTAGCTCATCAATATTTGTACTATGGTGCACATAGTTACAAAAAGTACTATCTAAATAGGAGAATGGGTTGCATCCTTGCACTGGGACTAAAGGGATCTTTTGAAACATCTCCTCAGGGGTTACTAAAGATACTAGGGAGTCAATGGAAAAAATTGTAACTTTGGCCAGAATGATCAACTGAGGTAACTCATAAAAACAAAGCCCTTTTGAGCATTCCTTTGGCATCGTGGTAACCACCAAAAGAGGACACTTCTAATTACCAGTTACTCACTTGGCCACCTGCATTAATAGCAACTAGGTGGCAGTACCATACATATCTCTGGGTTCCCTAATGTGAGCCGCCTTTCATCCCAATAGTAATAATAAACTCTGTTCACAGAATAAATAAAGCCCACCAAGGAGGGGAATAAAGGCAGCAAAATTATATCATCAGAAAGGTGCTTTTCATAATTACCCAAAGCCTTATTTATTAGCAGTCACATTTGGCTTCTTCCTTAAGTATAATTGTCGAACAGATGCACAGCTTCAGACAAAACCAGGAAGACAGTTGTGTTGCAGAAAGGTGCCCAAGCGATGCACTAGGATGTAAAGCAATGCCAGTGGAAACACACAGTGAAAGAATCAGGAATCATGCCCAAACATTTCGCTATGCCTTGAAATTGAACTTGGGTTCAACTAATTGTGAATCAGGTGCTTTAGCCACTGTGCTTTGACTACTGCAGTAAATAAAAAATAATATCAGAGATTACCATATGATTATAATCCCATGGTGTAGACTATATGTGATTTAATTCAGTTAACTTGAAAGATTCTTCCTGGAAATAATATGAGGATTTTGTCCTTCAGCTGTTAAATTTTGTTGTAGTACTTATTCTTATATTTAAACACATAATAAAATCTTAATTTTACCCAATTTTGAAATTTTATATAAATGTGAATAATATTTTTGTCAACCTGCTAAATTATTCTTACAGTGGCTGATCTGTCTTCCATATAAATCCAAATATAAAATTTCACCAGCTTTAGGTCTAGCATGAATTAATAATTGTTTATTATCTGAGCTGTAATATTTGTATCATTGACACCAAGGGGTGAAGCATTAGGCCTTCTGTTTTTTGCCTAATAAACATTTCAAATGCCCTGATTTCAACCTGCCCTCCAAAAATGGTAGTAAGTATAGCAATTATAAATGTATTGCACAGAAACATGGGCCACATTTTGTACGATGAAATGTGTAGAGAGCCCAACATAGAAGGCAACAAACCAATTGTTTGGGGAGCAACAGCTCATGTCTTGTTCATTCCATCCATATTAGCTATAAGTACTAGCATTTTTGTAAGACAAGTTACCTGATTTATAATAATAAAAACTAGATATCCCCTGAAAACTAGATATATACTTTTAAGAGTATATTTGTTGTATTTGAGTATTAATGATTTGTGTATATGATTTTAAAAATTAAGTTCCTTATGATATTTGATTATACAGACAAAAGGCATCATTAAAAAAACAACATTCTCCAGCTGATATTGAAGAAAAGAAGCCATGTTTGTCTGTTCTTCGAGTCATTGTAAGATCGATCTTCTGGCCGTATGTCTATGCCTCAGTTATGCACGTCTCTGCAGAATTGGTTTTATTTTTTACTCCGCGACTCCTAGGGTGAGTAATTCAATATTGCATTCAGTATTTAATTTGCAAGTATAAAAGGCTTACTGTACTGTGATGCCTTGATTAAACAAAACTCAGTTCAAGTTCAACAGAAATCCAGATACAGAGAAAGGATTGTGTCAATATATTTTGCTCATGTCAGGATTATATGGATTAGATGTCTGGATAAAAAGGAGAACCCTTCCAATTGGGATTTATGGTGATAATAAAGAAAATAATTTTTTTTAAATCAAAATGTAAGTTGCTTATGTGATTTTGGCATTAAAATATTTGCAAATATAGTTGCTGTCATTTGTACTAATCAAAGAATAATTAAAGCATGAAAATAGCAAAAGCTGCATAAGTTGTGTTGAAGTGGGAGGCTTCTGAGCCAATTAATCTGCATAGTTGAGATATCATTGTATTTTTAGGACTGAAGATTTTACTTTATCTAGTTACTGGTTAATTTGGTGACTTTCATGTATAAAAGAGTAAATAACTAACAAACCTTAATATATATATACACTAGAATACTATATATTTTAGATCAAGAATGGACAAGAACCCAGGCTTTACTTGATTTATTAATTTCATCTATTTCCTTTTCCTTTTATACCTTTTTGCAGTTTGTTGATCAGCTTTTCAAGCAATGAGGAAGAGCCGGTGTGGCACGGTTACTTTTACGCAATCTTGCTTCTCCTTGTCAGTTTCCTCACAACCATCTTTAGAACCATCTTTGCATACAATGCTTGGATCATTGGTGCAAAGGTCAGGTCGTCTTTAATGGCTGCAGTATACCGAAAGGTGAGATGTTAATGTGCTACTGAGCTGCTTCCTTCCTTGTAGGCTGTGTTTACCATGCTTATCAAGGAATTATGTCTTAGATGGCTAATTTTGTACATATTAATCATGTGCTTAAAATTGTATTGCCATTCATTGAGGTGAACAAAGTTGATTTGACAAAAAATAATTGAAAGGGTTTTAGGCAACTTAAAATAACTTTAAATGGAAATACAGTTCCATAGTAAAGTTATAATACTTTGACATTGCTTAACCCCTGAGATAGTGCAAAACCATTAAAAGTACAGTACAGTAAATGTGTATTAGAAAAAAAATATGATAGGAATAGATGCAGCCAGAGCACTACAAGGATTGGTAATAGGACTTTATATATGAGAAAGGGACATTGTGCAAAACGAATGGGAAAAATCAGGAATTAAAGATACTAGAAATGAACAGTTTATTCATTTCAACCGATTCATTTCAGTCCATACAGCAGTCTATTCTATCACTATTGGTCCCACTAAAACCAGAACTTAAAGTAGTTACGTTACTTTACAATCTTCTCACAATTCTAATTGCAAATTCCAAATACAACAACACAAAAGTGTCCTAGTTAACATAAATAAATATTAATATTATTGACAATGACTGGTATAACACAGAACACATGCTTAGCAAATTTAACACTGATTTGTTTTCATATTTTCAGTCGCTGAATGTATTTGAGACTATTTCTTTATTTCATTGAATTGATATTTATCAGTACTTTTGTTGAAGAGGTTTTTAGGAGGAAACAAGGTATTAAATATATACTTAAGATTGATGGTTATCCTAAACATATGCATCCTGTAACAATATATGAGAATAATATTATTACCTTCTTGACAGGCACTTACACTCTCAGTTGCTGCTAGACGAGAGTCAACTGTTGGTGAAATTGTCAACCTGATGGCTATAGATTCTCAGAAAATAAGTGATTTTCCCTTATTTTCCAGCTTGTTTTGGTCAGGTCCCCTGATCATAATAATTGCTCTGTATGAACTATGGAAGATATTGGGTAAGATCAAATTATGTATGTGCAGTATGTCATGTATGTCATGTTTGGTTAGTACCTTTCTTAATGATATTTGCACATAAAAGATATATCTATTAATTCATGTCAATTCACTTACCACCTTAAAGATATCAATAATAAAAAGTGCTGATTTTTAGCTTTGGGCGAGTGAAGTGATCTGCTTCATGCTTATTATCCTATACCTGCATGACTTGATGTGTCTTTCACTAAGTTCTCTAAGGCCTAAAGTATTTACTGTTCATGCCATATTATGCATAATTGACTTATATAACTTGTGACTGATGATAGTGATGTGTGTGTGTGTAACAGGACCTGCAGCACTCTCTGGCCTGGCTGTCTTGATACTTCTCATCCCCATAAACAGTGTCATTGCCAACAATATCATAACCCTCCAGAGCTCTCAGATGAAGTTCAAAGACAAGAGAATCAAGATGCTTAATGAAATCATTAATGGAATAAAAGTAATACACTATTAAATTTTGTGTACATATTTTCTGATCATTACAGATATGTTAAATACTTTTAATTTCAAACTCTTCATGCTTTATATATAGTGTCTGATTTTTAAAGAACAGACATTTGAGATATCCAACTTAATCTCGTGCTTTTAAAGGAGAAGTGAAATTTCAGGTATTAAATTTGTGGCATTCTGTAGGTACTGAAATTGTATGCTTGGGAGAACTCCTTCAATAATCAGGTAGAAGATGTCAGAAAGGCAGAGATTAAAGTTCTGAAGAAGTCGGCGTACCTTCAGTCATTCGTGGTTTTCATATGGCTTACCACTCCGTACTTGGCAAGTAAATTGGTCTGGTTCATGTATAATACTTTGAAAAATACATGCTATTCTATTATATTTGGAAGTATAAGAGTCTGATTTGCTGAAAGAAGTGCAGTATTAAAAATGTTACAATGCCATGGCTCTAACAAATAAATACTAAATCATATGATTGAAACGTGAAAAGGAGACAATGTTTCAGTCCATCGTGGTCTACCTCGGTAGCTCTCAGTCACCAGGCTCATCTGCTAGCCAGGTATATGGCATTGCAGGTGCTGGGTCACTTTGGGTTCTAGAATTTGCAGGACCCATCATTTTGTCTAGTGCATCACCATTCAAATCAACCCCTACACTTCTGTTCTGTTCTCAGACAAGCATCAAGCATGTGTAAATGGTATCTTCATTGATTGGCTTGTATCTACAGTGTTCTATCTTCACTCTTTCCCATATATTTTCTGCTGTCTATCACTACTCATATACATTATTTACACTAGATGACAATTTCATGTACCACCGGTTCTTTATCATCTGTACTGTAATTACATAAGTGTAGTTACAGGAAGAGAGCTATGCTCGTGGTGTCCCATCTGCCTAGCACTCTTTTTACACTTTGAAATTACTGACAGTTTTGGCCTCCACCACCTTCTCACCTAACTTGTTCGAACTGTGTACCACTCTGTGAATTTTCTTATATTTTGTTGGCAGCTTTGTTTAGTTAGTTTAAATCTCTGACCTCTCGTTCATGAAGTTCCTGCTCTCAGGAATTCTTCCCTATTAATTTTGTAGGTTCCTGTTACTATTTTGTATGTAGTGATCATATCACCTCTTTTCTTTCTAACTTTGGCATATTTAATGCCTCCAACCTCTCCTCGTAGTTCATGTCTTTCAGTTGCAGGAGCCATTTAGTTACTCTATGCCTGGTGCATATACCTTTGTTTTGCATGGTGACCATGTGTTTCTCTTGGACACTGTTGTTCTTAAATTTTATTCTATGTAACACTTTCTTTTAAGATCCTTGGCACTGTACTGCAGAGTATATTCATTAAGAATATTCATTCTGTTTTTTTTAAACACCGCTGTTTGTCGACCTAATTATATTTGTGCTGCTCTTTCAGCCATGTTCCCCCCTTACTTTCTTATTTTTATTTGTTCTCAACACATTTTATACTTTAAACTCAATTAGTATTAAGTTTTAGTCTTTAATGTTTTTCCTGCCCGAAACGCTTTGCGTAATAGTGGCTTTAGGCATTGTATGTACCAGCTCTATCTATAAACCTAGCAATTTTTGTAAAAATCTCTTGTATGAATGTACCTTACCTTAATAAACATTTATTTATTTATTTATTTATTTATTTATTTATTTATTTATTTATTTATTTATTATTTATTTATTTAAGATGCTTAGTTTTACGTCATCTATTTATGATCTGACATCTTAGCTCCTCATCTGCTCATTGTTAATCAAGTATTTCTCTTCAGGTTGCATTAATCTCATTTATCACATTTCTGATGTCATCTGAGGAAAACGTGCTGGATGCTAAGACAGCTTTTGTTTCAATTGCACTCTTCAACCTTATGCGCTTCCCAATTAATCAACTGCCACAAGTTATTGCTGCAGGTATTCGGGTAAGCATAAATGTGTTTTTATCCTATATGTATATATAAATATGTTTATATCCAACTGGAAAAGATCAGAACAAATGATGCTTGTCAACCTTTGACAAACTGTTAGCTTCCTGTCCTCGTTTAGGTCACTAGTGTTAATGGCTCTTAAGTAAATTCAGGTAAAATCCTGAATAATATTGATTTGTGCAGTTATACCTTGTTACCACTTATTGAGATTTGGTCAAAAATTGTATATTAGAGGCAATTTTCTTGTGATATTTTCCAGTACAGTGGTACCTCCACTTACGAATTTAATCCGTTCCCAGAGACGAGTCGTAACTGGAAAATTTGTAACTCGAAACACATTTTCCCATATAATAAGGTAAATTGAATTAATCCTTTCCCATACCCCCAAAACTATTAACTTAAAAATACATTTTATACCAAATACCACTCTTTTTGTACTAACTGCAGTACTGTATGTATATCTTACTCTTATTGAGAACTCTTGTTGGCATATGGAAAACGGTGAGGAGGGGGGAGGAGGAGAGGTGTTACTGTTTGGAAGGGAAGTCTCCTTCCATTATAACATCAGGCAGTGGTAACCTCTCTGGGGTACTCTCTCTCCTACATTTTGTCTGCATACCACTAGGACCTGGTTGTGGCTCACTGCTTGCTTGTCTTACTAAGAAGCTGTCTAAAGACACTTGTTTTTCCTACATTTTAATACTTGTCTGTAGTAAGACATCACATTGTCATTTAAAAGGTCAATGTAACAGTCTGCTACAGCTTTATCTGGGTGAGCTTTTTCAACAAAACTTTGCAGTTCTTCCCATACTTCACACATTTTCTTAATGAGGAAGGGACATCCTGCCTCTACTCACAACTATTTTCTTAGGTTAAACGTTACCACTGACTTTCTTGGGACTCATGGTGTGATATATAATAATTACTTTTATGTTCAAAAAACAAAAACATTATGTTAAAAAAAATTGAGTCAAATTTTCCAACAAAATTGGTGTCATAACTCAAAAATTTTGTAAGTAGCCGGGGCATTCGTAAGTCGAGGTTCCACTGTGTGTAGATGTTGTTAGTAGGAAATGATAAAAAATTTTGACCACTGATGTATCCTACAACAGCCCCCATATTTGAAGCTATTCAAATTGCCAGTGGCTCTTCAAAAAATAGCCTCCTAGTGACCTCATAATTTTATTATCATAGCCTGCTACTTGAAAAGAAAAACAGAACCATTGCATGTTAAAAAAAAATATTTTTTAACTGCTTAAGTAACTATGCGTTATGACATTGCAGGCAAGAGTCTCCTTACAGAGAATACAGAAATTCTTGACTTCAGCAGACATGGATCCTCATGCAGTATGCAGTGACAACCAACAAAGTAAGTTGTGAGTTTATTTCAAGACTTGCAATGTGGCTTTACAATAGGGCAGTCATATTTGACAAATTGACTTTTGTTCTTGTCAAACACATTTGATGCAGTAGATAGTGTTTAAGCATATAATATTATATGGGTAGGGTCCCGGTAGTACAGTCAGGTTCATTCACAATTCACAGTTAAGAATTCTAGGTTCGAATCCTGGGCAGAACAGAAATGGTTGGGCGTGTTTCCTATTTCCTAATGGGCCTGTTCACCTAGCAGTAAGTAGGTAGCCAGGAGTTAGTCAGCATGTCCCTCCAACCTTGAACAGTGAGACATTTCCCTTCTCTTCCCCTCACTCTTCCTTTGATCCTCTCATCCCCATCTCCTTGGTGCCCTTCTTTATCCTTCTTTTCATTCTCTCTCACCCTTCCCCTGGTCTCTCCCAGCCTCTGTCCACCTCTTTTTCCTGCTTCCCCCATCTCCCCCATTGACTCCCTAGCCCCCCCCCCCCCCCCTCTCTTCACATTGCTACACCTTGCTCCACAAGGTATAGCACTGCTATACGTTGTATCAGTATAATGTAACAAAATCAGTGCATATTTTTCTTTATAAATACATACCTGTATACTGTATATTATTATTATTATTATTATTATTATTATTATTATTATTATTATTATTATTATTATTATTATTATTATTATTATGGTTAGTTTAACATGATTCATTTACTGTATTTACCATTATATGTTGTAAGCTCATTTAACCTTTATATTTTTTATTGCATAGTTTTCTCATGGGAGTTAAAGTATGAAGAATTATATTTTTAGATGTAGCAGTTATGGTCCACAAGGGAGAGTTCAGTTGGAACACTGATGATGGGAAAACTTCATGGCGGCTGAAGAATGTCGAGCTGGAAATTCAACCTAAGCAGCTGGTAGCCGTTGTGGGGCCCGTAGGAGCTGGCAAGAGTTCTCTACTCTTTTCCCTACTTGGGGAGATTGATAAAGATTCTGGTAATGTTGTTGTAAATGTGAGTTCTTATTCTATTTTTTTATCAAATTTTTATACATTTTCTATCTTGTTTCTGCACATAATAATTTTTTATTTGTTCTCACATAAAAGCAGTAAACGTTTACACACTCGGAGGTCTTTCATCTTGGTGAGTGAAGAATAATTTTATTTGCATTCTGAATTTTTTTTTTAAATTAACAGGGCAAAGTGGCTTATGTTTCTCAACAAGCTTGGTTACAAAATGCAACGCTGAAGGAAAATATCACCTGGGGTCAACCATTTGACGAGGAACGTTATCGTAAAGTTGTGGACGCTTGTGCCCTTCAACAGGACTTGGACATGCTGCCAGCTGGGGACATGACAGAGATAGGAGAAAAGGTAATCAGTTGTAAAAATTACTTGACAGAGCTTTAAACTAAATTTCGGTGCTTGCAAATAACAATTTATATAATTTGTTCATGAAATGCTAATGTACCATATTAAACATTGATGCTTTGATATTTATAGCGAAAAATTTACTTTTGAGGGTACAGTACATTATATGAGAGGCACCATTTGGTGCAGGTCACTCAGTTGCTTCCTAAGGCAAGATGCCACTGTCTTGGTAGGAACTGTTAACATATACTGTAGTCTCATGTTAGTGACACGGAAGTTTCCAAGCAGTCTGTGCAGGACCATTATCTGGAATTTGTGGCTGCAAAGTGAAGGGTGCATTAACTATCAATGTTATAGGTGTTTTGTTGAGTAAAGATTGGACAAAAACTTAACTTTGTAGGTCTCTGTAATGTATGTTTATTTTTTTTATGCTGTATATGTAAATTTGATTTTCATATTTTATAATTTGTGTGGCTTTTGAAGGCACATATTCCCGGCAGAAATCATGGGCTGTCGGTATATTATAAAGTCTTGCCTTTTGTACTTGGTGTGGTTTATAAATTGCTTACCATTTAAATTGTGTCATATCTGCTCTTAAAATTGTGGATGCTGGTGGCATCCACAATTTCTTCTCATCAGCATTGACTCTACATTTATTTTTCTAGATTTTTCCAGGGTTCTCTAGCCTTTATCAAAATTTATTGATACTGTATATGTTTTTGTTTCTCATTGCCGGGGTCAAGAAGCCTGTACTTAGGCTTATACAGGTCTCCTCTAACCCAACTCCTGTCCTTCCCCCAGGATGCAACCTATAAACACTTGAATAACTGCCAGGTAGTTATTTACTACTAGATGAACAGAGGCACAAGGTAAAAGAAAACCTGCCTGACCATCTCTATTCTACCCGAGAATTGAACCTGGCACCCTTGATATCCTTGAGCCGATGATGTTGACCCTTGCTCATACTGTCTATAAATAACACAGTAATTTTCCTACAGTCTCTTAAAACTGTATGAAATGCTGCATATTTTAGGATCTTGTAGTACAGTTGGCTTCACTTTCGACTCACAATTGGGGATCCCGGGTTTGATTCTCAGGCAGGACAGAAATGATTGTGTATGTTTCCTTTCACCTAATGGCTCTGTTCACCTAGCATTAAATAGGTACCCAAGTATTAGGCAACTGATCTGTATAGAGTACATTGATCTTTATCTGTGTTGTATATCTTATGCAAATAAAGTTAATAAATATTGCAATAATATAGGCTCTATGTAAAATGTTTTACAACAATTAATAACATCCCTAGGTAATTCCATTTATAAAAATAAAGGTACTGTAGTGTATTCTTTATCATTGCCAGGGAATTAACCTCAGTGGTGGACAAAAACAACGGGTGTCTCTGGCCCGGGCAGCATATAGTGACGCAGATATCTTCTTGCTGGATGACCCTCTCAGTGCCGTAGATGCTCATGTTGGACGTCATATATTTGATAAGCTCATTGGTCCTGAGGGAATGTTGAAGGACAAGGTAAGTGACATTTACTCAAGAAAGCAGTTTTAAGAGTAATTGTATAATGACATTTATATAGTACAGTACTGTATATTTATTTAAATATTTACAAGCACAGTGAATTTTGTAAAAAAAAAATCGTGTGTAAATGTTACATTTTTGTAAAGCTTAGAGGAATGGGGAATGGAAATTGGTTTTGTGATTACATGCAATAATAAAAATCAAACAGAACCTCCCCACTTCCTTATTTACAGTACATATACAGTATGTTACTTTAAATAGGAAATGTAGAACAAATGTAAATTATAAAGATACACGATACACAAAGATATATAGATAAAAGTGAGAGGAAACACTTAATGTAACAATTATTTTGAATTCGCGGCACTTAAAAAAGCTAACAGTGTGTGTGTGCATTATATTTATTAAGAGACACGAAAATGGGAATACAGTATAATACATACAACGTAAAATAATTTCTCACTCTCCAGATCGACTACTGTATCCCAGTCACGCAGAGAAAGCCGAGGTAAATTTACAACCTCACGAGTGAGATGGGCACCTCACAAACACACCCAACATACACCCTTAGTGGGTGAAGTCTGGCTGCATTGTCCTCGTGGGATGCAGGGACGCTATCCTCACGAAAACTTGCTGGAAAAATTTACACACGAGAGGCATAAACATTTCCTAATACACAATTCAACATACTTAGAAACACTGACAAATGAAACATAAAAATTAAAAAAAATAGAAGAAACTGATATTTTAGCTAAGTGAAAATATTTTGATTAATTAATAACAACAAAGGCAGAGACTTTATATACCAGTCATTACAAAGCCACTATTACTAACAAAGCATTTGAGCAAGTCTTAAATCTAACAGTGGTTGAGGTATGCATTGAGAATTTGAAGTTACAGTATTTGTATGTTTCCTAAGTGTACAGTTAATCTAAAAGTATTAAAACTATGTATTGTGATTCTAGTAAACATAGAAAATATGCAATAATTCAGAAGATAAAAAATAGTGAGTATTATTAAAGCTAGCAGCGGAAGTACTGTGAAAGAATGAAAACAATGAAAGTCTTCACTAAGAATTCAAGCGCGGCTGCGGTCGTCACTACTCGGGATAAACTTGTAAACAAACTGAGATGCCTCACCCCGCGCCCCCAGCACCATACGCTCATTCGACCAATACGTGCACAAACCGATGTCGTCTTCCAAGTAAACCGCCATACACCAATTCAAAATTTCCGACGAATTTGACATCGTCAACCAAAAAATTCATACTCTAGTCGTCAACCGAGGTTCCACTGTACATTGAGAATTTAGCAATTTGAAAAGTAACAGAAGAGCAGTCAATTTAAAATAATATATTTAAAATTAGTGGACATCTTTTATAGTTAATATGTAGGCAGATACTTACTATTCAAATTTTGGTTATGACTACTGTATACTGTATAAGGATTTATATTTTTAATTAGTACAGAACCCATGGGAATAGGAAATAATTTCACATATGAAATAATTGCACTGATCAACTCAGTTTTTGCTGAGTTATGTCTGAGACACGTTTTTGACTAATTTGGGGGCACTGAACTCAATTTCACATTGGGGTTTGCCTATCATATCTAATTTTTGCTCTAAAGTATACTCCCATTTTCAATCTAACATTGTAAAATTGTACTCAATTACAATCATTTCCACAATCATTTCAATCCTATTCTTGTCAACTTATTTAGAATGCCATACAGTACCAACAAACAATAATATGAACCAATTTTGAGATTAATAAATATATTGGCTAACTGACATATTAGATCAAAATATTGAAATAGAAAAATATATACTAATTCCATAATTCACTTCATTTGAACCGTGACCTTGTCCATCGCTTACGGCACCTATATTTACAGGAAATTTTTCAAGATGGCTGTCAAGAAAATTAAAGTTTATGACTTGTAGCTCATCAAACACACCGGTTTCTGTTTGTTTTCATAACTGAGACAAGGGGAATGTTATGCATAGGTACTTAAAACAGTCACTGTCTACACTCAAAGCTTAAATTTAACATACTGTTTCATTAGACTCAGTTTGATGTAGAGAGGAGGAAAGATGATTTTCCCAATGTACTTGGGGTTGGTTTTTGGTACTGTATTTTATTCTCTGACATTTCAGCATGTTCTAATATGCCAGTTCTTCTGAGTCCCACAGGCACAAGAAACATGGATTTTTTGTGTCTCCCTCTTGTTAACTAAGTAAAAAGCTATCCATTGTAAGATCCATGCAGATGATCCAGTTACGATCATCATATCGAAGTAACGCAAGAACTCTTTTCATGTATTCATGTTCTTTGAGATATACAGTATGACCAGTGGGAACTGAACCATATGAATCTCCATTATGCAGTAAGACACACTTTACTGTATACTTTACTTTCACTTACATACCAGTACTTTACTTTTTCTTAGATCTATCTAAATCAATCACCACTCATTTGGTTCATACAGTGTCACACCCATTGTATTTAATAAACCTGACACATCATCATGATAATAAAATAAATCATTTTCTTTTTCAACAAGTATTACTAGTGACATTTCTCCAACCATATACATTGCTGCTGTCCACTGCACTCATTTGTCTGTCCGTTAGAACATTTATCATCTAATTCAGTAGTTTGTCTCTCACTCATCCAATGTGAGTTGGCTTATTTATTTTCAGCCATGTTATTGTGTCAAATTAAATATATTAAATTCTGTATGATTCCAGACCAGGTTGTTGGTGACACATGCAGTGTGGGTGCTGCCTCAGGTTGATCTTGTGGTTGTGATAAAAGATGGATGCTTAGTGGAAAATGGCAGTTACATGGAGCTGCTGAAGGGAGATGGGGACTTTGCTCAATTCTTGCTTCAACACATAACTAATCCTGATAATGGTCATGAGGATGACAGTGGTAAGAAATAGGAATTATCCTGCATTATTTAAATACATTTGAGATATATTTCTAGGTGCTATTTAATACTGTATCTATAGTACAGTATAACATTTATTTCTATACTGTAAATTTAAATTTGCACTATTTTTTGGCAAATGCCTAGGGGAATTTTTCAATAAAATTGCACATGTATAAAATATAATTCTGGTTGGATACATAATTATTGTGTGGTCATGTATGGTGATTGGCACTTCTTGCATTATTTAAACACATTTGGGATATATTTGTAGGTGCTATTAAATACAACATCGATGGTTATAAAGGGACCCTCATCTCCCCTAACAGAGGTACTCACATCCTTTCTAACAAAGGGAGCCCATCCTCCTATCAAAGGGATCCCATCCCCCTAGCAAAGGAACCCGATCCCTCTAACAAAGAGACTGTCATCACCCCTAACAAAAGGACCCCATTCCCCTAGTAAAGGAACCCCAACCCCCCTAGCAAAGAAATCTCAAACCCCTAACAAAGGGACTCCCATTCCCCTAACAAGGAGACTGCCATTATCCTAACAAAGGGACTCCATCCTCCCTAGCAAAGAAATCCCATACCCCTAACAAAGGAACCCCATCCTCCAAGCAAAGCAATTTCATCCCCTACTGACAATGGGAACCCCATCCTTCTAACAAAAGTACCGATTCCCCCTAACAAAGGGACCCCATCCTCCCAAATAAAGGGACCTCATCCTCCTTAATAAAGGAACCACTATCTCCTCTAGCAAAGGTACTCCATCCCCATAATAAAGGAAGCCCGTCCCCATAACAAAGGGACCCCATCCCCGAGCTCTACAATCATAAATTTAAGAATTTGTGTTTACATGCCTATAAGTTTAGGTATGTGCCTAATATAATCCTAACATTACAGATATTGATGAAATATGTGAACAGCTTGAAAATGCTGCTGGTGGACAGATCCTTATAGAAAAGCTATATCAACAAGCCAATAACACTGAGCTTCGAAGGTTAGTTGTTCTTTGTGTTTGTGCATGAGTAGTGCGTTAAGATGCCAATACTTTAAGTTCAACTGTACTTCTTGTACCTCATGCAGCAAAGTCTCCGTGGTGTAGTGGTAAGACACTCACCTGGCGTTCCGCAAGCGCTTTGTCTTGGGTTCGTATCCTGGCCAGGGAGGATTTACTGGGCGCAAATCCTTAACTGTAGCCTCTGTTTAACTCGACAGTAAAATGGGTACTTGGTTGTAAAAACGATTCTTCGTGGGGGTCGTATTCCAGGGACCTGCCCGAAATGCTACGTGTACTAGTGGCTGTACAAGAATGTAACAACTCTTGTATATATCTCAAAAAAAAAAAAGGGCTCCATGATTCTTCTTGCTCTCATGTGGCTGCTACAGCCCTAGTTCCCAGTCCTGTTCTCTTATTGTTCCTAACCGTCACCACTCCAATGCCTGTTCCTCGTGCAGAGGATCAACCACTTGTGGTTTCAGGCATCTTGTGGGTACCTGGAGGTGTGTTTGACTCTGCTGCCTGGTCGTGGTGGTTAGCACAGGTGGTCGGGCAGGAAACTACTAGTTAGAGAGCCTTCTCTTGGTGGTCACCCGTGAGTCCTTGGAGTAGTTTGCAAATTTATGAATGGTACCTCATTCTGTCATTCTTGGAGAGATTAAGTTTTTTCTCTAGTGGTTCCCTAGCACCATTAATGACTCTGCAGCAAGGATGTTTGTAAAGTTTCCATTGGGTCCAATACCAGATTATTATCCTGCCACACTGTGCATGATCTTTGTCATTTGACAACAGATCCTCACTTTAGAGAGTAACAGAAAATATTAAGTTTAAGGGATTAGTTATTCTGTATATGTAAGAAATTCAATGGCATGAACAAGTCTCAATGGAGGAATCTAAAACAATATTCTGAAAAATATGGTACTGTATATCTTTCTCTGTTGAAGATGATGTTTAAAATGCTGTTAGATAACTGTTTAGATTACTTTTTAGATTTCTTTTCCATAAAGCACTCATAAACATGGAAAATACTATACAGTATTTGATATTGACAGTGATCATCTATGGATTAAAAATTGACTAGTTACATAGTCACATTGTGCCTTACAGATTTGGCAGTGCAGCTAAACGTCAACGAAACGGCATCAGTGAAAGCAGGCACTCAAGAACAGAAAGTGGAGGAGATCACAGTCATAAACGGAAACATCTACAGTCTATTTCTTCTTCTGGAACTGGAAGTCTTTGTGACATCTTTACTCATGAATCAATATCCATGAATGAAATGGGAGGAAAAGTTGATGATGTTAGCAAAGAGAAAGCAGGAGAAACTTTGATTCAAGAAGAAGCATTAGAGACTGGCAAGGTAATTCCTCATATGTTTGAAATTCTTTTACAGTGTTGTACTGTAGTTAATTACACTCAATGCAGTATGTTTAAGTTGTAAAACTAAGGGACAAAAAAATCCAGAACTGGAGCCACATCCTTAACCTGAAAATCAATTTGGTGGAACAGTATCCCTATGTAAATCAATAATATGAAAATTATTGCTCAAATTTATTAAAATATTAAGAGCCTTAATATATGAAATTGAAATTTTAGAAGATAATGTCCTACCTTTCCAAAAGATGAAATTTCAATACAATGATAACTAATTTTTTCACACTTTTTAAATTTTCTTGAAAAAATACTTATTGATATTTTAGATAACAATTAAAATATAAAATATAATTGAAATGCATCAAACACAACTAGTTAAGATAGGCTCATGTGGATTTTTCATCATGCATTTTAGACAGTAATTGTGTATTTTCACAGGTAAAGAAGGAAGTGTATTATTTTTATGCAGTAGCAATGGGACTCTTGCCTGCTGTTCTTCCAACACTTCTGCTTGCTGTTGCCCAAGTGAGTGCATTGCACTTTAAAGTACAGTATTTATAAATAATATGTAATATTACTTCACATTCATCAAAACCTTACTTTCTTTAAATAGATAATTAATTAGACATTATCACTTTCTGACGAGTGTTGTGAAAATATTTGGTATCACAACATTTCTGAGCAAAGCCTTGGGCCTCAGTAGCTTCCTGAACCAGACTCCCCAGGACACTGCACACTCAACAGACATGACACTAAGTGGCTCCCAGAACTGAAGGACAAGAGCTATGAGGAGAGGTTAGAGGCATTAAAAATTCCAAAACTAGAAGATAGAACAAAGTGAGGCGATATGATCACAACATACAAAATAGTAATGGGAATCAATGAAATTGATAGGGAAGAATTCCTGAGACCTGGAACTTCAAGAACAAGAGGTCATAGATTTAAACTAACAAAACAAAGCTGCTGAAGAAATACAGTACAGTATAAGAAAATTCACTTTCGCAAACAGAGTGGTAGATGGTTGGAACAAGTTAGGTGAGAAGGTGGTGGAGGCCAAAACCGTCAGTAATTTCGAAATGTTATATGACAAAGAGTGCTGGGAAGACGGGACACCACAAGCGTAGCTCTCATCCTGTAACTACACTTGGGTAATTACATGTTATTAACATGTTAACCCATGCTCTACTGTCACAAGGATTTTTTGCAAATACTCTTGCCATGTAGTTGGGGAGGAAAGACAGAGGAGAAAGAACCCAGTCCACCACTTGCATGAAATTTGCTTAGCACAAATGGAAACTTTAGAGTATAGAAGTTTGTAACTAGATTAATATGAGAACTGAGATGGCTCAGCTATGAGGACAGGTTGAGGAATTCAGCTTTACATAGAAAAAATAGAGACTTGGTTTGGAGTTTATGGAGGTTGAACCAGATGTTTAACGCTTGGTATCTTCCTCATCCTCCACGATCTCTACATCTTGGCGTAGAGATCTGTTTTTATTGTCTGTTCTGGGTCACCTCATGCCCTACATCCTGCTTCATATTGACAGTTGGGCTAATGAGTATCTGGCTAACCATTATCACAGTGGTAATTAGCTATTCTGGTAATTTCAGTTATTTATTGTAGGTGATGATAAATGATATAGTTCTTGTCTTTTGTATAATAGGTCACCATGTGATGAATTAAGTTATTTCTTCCTTATTTCTCCTCAACTACAGTACATAGCAAGACTATTTACAAAGACCCATGTCAGTGTAGCACATGTGGATGAAAGCCTGCCATGTGTGCAGTGTCCTGGAGGGACCCTGGCTTTGGCACAGGAAGCAACTGAAGAGCCTCTCAGAAAGTAGTGTTTGACTTTACTTAATGCCAGTTTGACAGTATCAGACCACGAAGGAAGAATTGAAACAGGAATTTCCTTAAGTACTTTCGTATTTAATAATACATCTTGAAAAGGATGTATTTACAAGATTGTAGATTGGACATATATAGGCAGGAGAGAGAGAGAGAGAGGTGAAGTGAAGTGAAGTGAGGTACAATGGTACTGTCATATTTTTCATCACGTGCTAATTTTCGTGATTTACACACATAATGCCAGTTTGTTTATTTAATGTGTTGTGTTCATTTATATCTTACTATATTTGAAAATACAGTACAAAGTACAACCCCATACATACTTCAAGCTTGATTAAATGTATACTGTATTTCTGTGCAGGGTTGCCAGGCAAGCAGTAATGTTTGGCTCTCCTATTGGTCAGAAACCGCTGCCAATTCCTCCAGCAACAGTACAGGTGAAGACTTCAGCCGTGTGGAGTTCTTGGCAGGCTATGGTGCCCTTGGCTTTGGACAGTGTATGTCATTTTCATTTTCATTGTTTCCTTATTATCACTTTTAAAATATTTTTTAATAAATTTATACTAAATTTTGTATTTTTTGTTTGTAACTGAGAAGTTTTTCATATAATTTTTGCCAAATTTTTAAATATTCAAGTATTTCCATGTAAAATTTTACTGTTTATGAGACTGCTGAATTGTCATATTTGTGGTGGCTGGCTCCACTAACTTCATGCTGACAGTAGTTGTTGGGAAGTGAATTTATTTATTTATACAAGAAGGTACATTGGGTTTGTGAAAGTACAGAATATTGGTGTTTTTACATTTTTGCAGAGCCACTAACATACACAGCATTTTGGGTCCTTAATATAACAGACAAGCCTGATTGAACCCTAATGCAAGCAGCAGTGACCTGAGCATGAATCATTGTTCATATTTATTATTTTAAGAAAATAAGAATAAAGGTAACTGTATAAGGCCTTGCCCATACAAGGCAGCTCCTATTTATAACCTAGTTAAGTATTAGGGAGTCAAGAAATAAGTAATTAAAAAAAATACCAAGCCAGTATGGCTTTGTATAACTGTAGAAAACCAAGAGAAATTCGAGAATCAATATTCTCAGATCTAAACCCATTGTGAACCCCTCTTTTCCTGTTTCATGCATACTTTCATTACAGCCTCTTCTCGTAGGCACTGTGCCTTGTGTCAGTCCAGACGGTGACCACTTGGTTTTTTGTTTTTCGATGACACAGTCATCTTGTGGAAGGAACCAAGAGGAACCCTATTGAAAAATATATATGCTATGCCTGAATAGCTATGCATGTTAGTGGCTTTACAAGAATATAAAGATACCAATCTTATGTAATTCTCGCATACCCATTGTACCTTCTTGTAAATACATACAGTATTATTATTATTATTATTATTATTATTATTATTATTATTATTATTATTATTATTATTATATAGGAGCCCCATATTTTCCCTGACACCTTTGACCTTCATTCTATCAAGAATCATCTTCCCCATATTTTAACCCAATTGTGAATTAATCTTCTCACATTTAAAGTCAATTTGTAATCATTCTTCTCATATATGAATCTGATTTTGCTTTGTATTCCACAAGGTCTTGTACCTTCAAGATCTTGTATGTTGTGCCAGAACATCATACTTGGCCTATTATGCAAGGCCCAATTTGCCTAATAAACCAAGTTTTCTTAAATTTATATATTTTTCTAATTTTTTCTTATGAAATGCTAAAGCTATCCATTTCATGATGTATGTGTTAATTTTGATTAATTTGAGTTAAAACTAACGTAGATATATGACCGAACCTAACCAACCCTACCTAACCTAACCTATCCTATTTTATCCTAACCTAAACTAACATAACTAAGTCAATAATTTATGTTCTTATTATAATATAATAATAATATTTCAAATAAACCAATTGCAAAATTTATTTGGAAAAAACGAAATCATTCGGCCTACTCGTCAAATTAGCCCTTGCATAGTAGGCCGAGAAGTGCGTTCTGGCTACTAGGTACGACATATATATACACTGTATATATATATATATATGTTGTACCTAGTAGCCAGAACGCACTTCTCGGCCTACTATGCAAGGCTCAATTTGCCTAATAGGCCGAGTGATTTTCTTTATTTTCAATTAATTGTTTCCAATTGGTTTATTTGAATTATTATTATTATATTAAATTATGAACATGAATTATTGACTTAGTTATGTTAGTTTTAGTTAGGTTTAAATAGGTTAGGTAAGGCTGGTTAGGTTCGGTCATATATCTACGTTAGTTTTAACTCAAATTTCAACAAATTAACTTATAAATATTGAAATGGACAGAATTATCATTTCATAAGGAAAAAATGAGAAAAATATATAAATTCAGGAAAACTTGGCTTATTAGGCAAATCGGGCCTTGCATAGTAGGCCGAGTATGACGTTCTGGATACTAGGTACAACATATATATATTTATTTTATGGGTACCACCTCTGGTGTAATTGCAGGGACCCACATCCTCGAAGAACCACATCCTCGAAGAAGAAAACAAAGAGCATTCAGAGAAGATCTTGTGGATTCTCACTGAATACTTTATTCTTTTCTTCTCCAACCACCCCCATTATTTTTTTGTATGTTTTGTTTTATTTTGTTTTATTTTATTGCAATGCTTTTACATCTAGTTTACAGAGAACACACACACACACACAAATATATAACAATTAAACAATCAGCGTTCAAAGACCTCTCCCGCTCCTCGGAGGTTGGGTGCATACCCAGGATACAGCACGCATTTCCCCTCTGAACTGCGACACTGAGGAAACATTTTAGATTTGCGATCTGCGAAACATTTTAGATTTCATTTATTGTTTATTTTTTCAGCTTTATTTTACTACATGGCATCAGTTTTGCTATGGATAGGCTGCATGAAGGCTGGGAAGGACATTCACCAGAAACTCTTGAATAGTGTACTACATCTTCCCATGAGCTTCTTTGACACTAATCCTAGTGGACGTATCATGAACCGCCTCAGCAAGGATATAGATGTCCTTGACAGTGTGTTACCTATTCTGATAACACACACCTTAGTTGTCTTATCACAGGTAAGTTTCTCAACTCTTGGCACCAGTAGTTATCACTAACTCAGTCTTTAGCAACAGCTCAGTGAATAGTAGTGTTTCAGTTTTTAAAATATGAGCTAAACCATAGTTTTAATTATCCCTACACTGTTTTCTTGTGAGGCAATATTTCTTTTCTTTCAATACCTAGCCATTGTTGTCTTACACTCCATGACCTTCGTGGTTAACTGACACAAATTGCTTTTACAGGTCATCGCAACACTGATTGTGATTGTGGCCTCAACACCAATAATTGTTGTTGTCATTATTCCCATCATGGGGTTGTATTATTTCATCTTGATTGTCTACATTTCAACCACAAGGCAGCTCAAGCGGATTGAATCGGTTGCCAAATCTCCCATCTACTCGCATTTTGGAGAGTGTGTTCAAGGTAAGACTTAAATTTACACCAAAATATTTTATTTAGTCATATACAAGAAGATACATTGGGTTGTGTGAGTACACAACCCAATGTACACATTGGTGTTCTTACATTCTTACACAGCTATTATTAACATGCATAACATTTCGGGCAGAAACACTCTGCTCAGTTGCTCCCTATTTTCTGTGTTGATGCTTCTCATCCCTATTAAAGTGGGAATGGAGTAATACTGATAATGGTGAAAATTAAAAATATATAGAATAATATTTCATTGTGTTCTCATGTATATTTTTGTAATTATTTCAGGTGCATCAATTATTCGGGCATTTAAAAAACAAGATAATTTCATCCATACATCCCACATGAAAACAGATTATTGTTTGCAAGCTTTCATGGCCAACCTTGCATGTAACAGGTCAGTCTCTAGAACTGTCAGGAATTAAGTGCATCTTTTATTACATAAGTTATTACTTTGAGCCCAGTTTTTTTTTTTTTTTTTTTTTTTTTTTGAGATATATACTAGAGTTGTTACATTCTTGTACAGCCACTAGTACGCGTAGCGTTTCGGGCAAGTCCCTGAAATACGATCCCCGCTGCGAAGAATCGTTGTTACAACCAAGTACACATTTTACTGTTGAGTTAAACAGAGGCTATAGTTAAGGATTTGCGCCCAGTAAATCCTCCCCGGCCAGGATACGAACCCATGACAAAGCGCTTGCGGAACACCAGGCGAGTGTCTTACCACTACACCAGTTGATCTTTCACCTTTAACACTTTAAAGCAAGGTTTTCAGTGACTCGTCCTTACCGTATGTGTAGCTAACAGACCTGTTTCATAAATGCATCTTGTGTTCATATTTGTTCATACACACTTTCTTATTGTTGTTTTGGGCAAAGCCGATAGTTGGATCTATTTTCACACACGTTAGGGGTTCACTTAACATGCAGTAGATGCAGGTCTTTTCTCAAGCTTGAAATCTATAATCACCTAAATAATACGTGAAGATACAGTGAATGTGTTCTTATACATTAACACAAAACCCACAATTAAACATCTAATTAATTTTTGTTTATTTCTTTGCAGGTGGTTAGGCATACGTCTTGAGTTTATTGGGAACATCATCATCTTTGCTGCGGCCATCTTTGTTGTAGCTGGTCGGGGCTCAGTGAGCTCGGGCATTGTTGGTCTTACTTTAACCTATGCTCTTAATGTAAGTGTAACTGTGATCATCTATAATTACTAATAATTATCTTGGTTTTCCCTGTACTGTACTGATCATATGTTAACCCTTTTACTACAATTTTCAATTGGCTGAAAATCATCATTTGGTCGGACTAGTGCAATTTTTTTATGTTTGCTATGGTACTTAGAAAAAGTTTACATATCCTATTTAAAATGCACTCCAATTGTGCAATGTTTTAGGGTAAAAAATATACACCTTATACTTGTGCAATTGTAAAAAGTAATTAATTCTACAATTACCCAGCACTGAGACAAGAATATCTAAGACAACTAAGGTAAGCGTATTTAAATGGAGCAGTTAAATACTAAATTACACAACCACACTTAGAAAAATAAAGGAGTGGAATAATTTTAATTTCAAGGGCAGTGGAAAGTTAAGAAAGTGCAGTTAACCACAAAGTTGTGTTGTGTCTCGAGTGAAGTTGAAAACATAACGGTGACCAAGTGCAAAACTTCTTTTAATTTCATGTTTCACGTACTCCTCAAAATGTTTCTTCAAAAAGATTAACAGATAAAAGGTAAAGACATAGATCTTCAAATATTGGTAATCAATAATTTTCAGTTCTGTAGTTCAATGAATGAATGAATTAAGAGAAAAGACCCACCCTCTGGGGTGAGAGGAGTAGTGGGAAAGGATGCAAAGGTTTAAGAGCACTGGGAGAGGAAAAGTGCCAGGGCTTAGCCCCATGGCAGGGCATGTACCAGGCCGGTCGTAGCTCAGCACAAGTGCTCCTCAAGTATGCAAGAGCTCACTTGTAAAAATACTATAATTTGGTCTGAGACTGTAGTATAAACATGGACATGTAGTTTAAAAGTAGACAAAAATAGGAGATATTCCAGGTGACTTGTAAGGAGAATTATTGTAAATGAATACTGTACCTTAATTAAACCGGACATAAACAATCACAATACTGAACTGTAAATATTTTTATTTCACCATGTACATTTTCACTCACGTTCTTTTTTTTTTCTATTTAATTAGGTAACGGTAATTCTCAACTTTTTGGTAAGGATGAGCTCAGAAATAGAAGCCAATATTGTGTCTGTCGAGAGAATTAAGGGATACATTGAGGTACGTCTCCTATTCACATCTTTCATTCCCTTGATAATCTAATTTCCTTCAGTATTGCGTTTTAATATGAACATTGTATCTACTTCATTATCACTACCACCAATAACCCAGTGGGCACAGTGGTTAAAAACAACATACATTACATACTGTTCATATGTAACATTTGTCGCTTTCAACCAACTGTGTCCACTGGGAATGTGCTTTGATGCATGTCTTGCAATTTTTTTTATAAATTAGGAATTATGAGCTTTGAATTCATTTGTCTCTTGTATAATCATCTTACCATCTTGTAATAATTGTCAGTCATTTTCTAATTCTAACTCTCTCCATAATTGTTATATTGTCTCATGTAATTTTAAGAATTACCCTCTTAAGCTTACATTGTACTGTATATTGTTTTCTTAATTTTTATGTTATACCCAAAACACTCTTGTGTATTAGTGGCTTTAGGCACTGTGCATTACTTATGAATCTCTCTCTCCTATACAAGTATTGTTTTTATGTATGTACGCTTACTTAAATAAATATTATTATTATTATTATTAGTAATGATAATGTCTTCTCACAGACATAATAAAATAGGATAAAAACCCACACTTGTGTATACAAGTACAGTATGTGAAATTTATCTAAGGAATTTACACCACATCTTTCACACTCTCCCTAGTGCTTTATCAAGGCTTGAGTGTGTAATTAGGATGAGACTTACATCTCAGTGTCTATTAGATGTTTATTCTATTATTGTTCGACGTCTATTAGACATTGAGATGTAAGTCTCGTCGTGATCACACACTCAAGACCTTGATAAAGCACTCGGGAGAGTGCGAAAGACGTAGTATAAATTCCTTACATAAATTTCACATATACACAAATCTGAGTTTTTATCCTATACATTATTATTATTATTATTATTATTATTATTATTATTATTATTATTATTATACAGTAATGAATTTTAATATGTAGTTATCAATAGTATTGTAATTTGATTTTTTATTTAATTTTGTAATCTTATTAGCAGTCTAAGGTAGTAATAAATAAAATCTCTTTATTTTCATAGATCCCAAACTGTCTGTGATTATATATGTCAATGTGATCATCACTCCAGTTACTGGCCAGACTCGACAATGCTTATTCTGACTACACTACAAAAACGCTTGTACAGTGGAACCTCAGTTGATGACCGTTCTAGAGTACGAATTTGTTGGTATACGTCAAATTCATCGTAAAATTTGAATTGGTGTACGACAATTTACTTGGAAGACGATGTCTGTTTGTACCCGTATGGGTCGAACGAGTGAGTGGTGCTGGGGGAATGGGACGAGGCACTCTCAGTTTGACAGTTTACAAGTCTATCCCACTTTGTAACGATTGCGGCTGTGCTTGAATTCTTTGTAAAGAATTTCAATGTTTGCCTGCTCTTTTGCTTTTTTAACATAAAAGCTCTTATTTTATATCACGCTATAGGTCCTAAGAAAGTCAGTGGTAAAGTTCAACCTAAACTTTTGTTGAAAAAGCTCACCCAAATCAAGCTATAGCAGGCTGTTGTGTTAAACTTTTTAATGACAATGTGATGTCTCACTTCAGACAAGTGTTACAACGTAGGGAAAAAAAAACAAGTATCGCTAAACAGGTTTTTAGTGAGAAAAACAAGCAGTGAGCCACAAGCAGGTCCTAGTGGTATGCAGGCAAAATATAGGAGAGAGAGAGTACCCCCAGAAAATCACTGCCTGATATTATAATGGAAGGGGAATCCGCCCTTCCAAATGCTAACACCTCTCCACCTCACCGTCTTCCATACGCCAACAAGAGTCCTCATTGAAGGCAAGATATACTGTACAGTACATATTGTATTGTAACTAGTACAAAATGAGTGTTACATGGTATAAAATGTATTTTTAAGTTAATATTTTTGGGGGTGTGGAACGGATTAATTCAGTTTACATTATTTCTTATGGGAAAATTCGTTTTGGTTGACGACGCGTCTCTGGGAACGGATTACGATTGTAAACGAAGGTACCACTGTATTAGTATGATTACATACTTAAATACTTATTTCACATTTCTTGAGGGAAGTATAGTTTATGGAAGTGTTTGTCCACTTTAAGGTGGCAATATTTTCAGCTTAGACGATTTAAATATCCCCGTGTCGGTTTTTTATCAATTTTCCAACTTTGTCTTCAAAATCTTGTTCCCCTATAAGTTCAAATTAAAGACAGTGCTATGACAACTCAAGGTCATGCTGTTCTGTATATATTTTTTTTTCACTTTAGTCATTGTAACTGTAAATCTTTAGAATTTAGATTAATCTTATAATATGTACAGACAATATGATATTACATGTCTCCACAGGAGGAACATGAAGCACCATGGAACATTGAGGTCTCTACTCCACCAAAGTCATGGCCAGAGTGGGGCTGTCTCACTTTTACCAATTACCAAACCCGATACCGTCCCGGCCTAGACCTCGTACTCAAGGACATCACCTGTACCATCAACCCGGGAGAAAAGGTAGGAATGCTGTCAAATATTGTCTTGATAACGACACAAGATTGTATTCTTATGAAGCAGATACTGTGGCAAGATTTTAAGGTTTATTGGTTAAGAACATATTCATTGTTCTTTACCATTTCTTTAGAATAGTAATAATTTTTCATGATTAAAACAAGTCATTCCTTCAAGCATTTTCGTTATTTATAATTACAAGGAATATACAGTATCTAATTATCAATTTGTGTTCCTTAGTAGGCCTACATCCTCCATGTATCTTGTTTTTCCATTCGCCAACACTATTCATTCTACCGCTTACAACATTTCTGATAAAATATTAGTCACTGAATACACAATATTATTACCTTTTCTGTTTTCCTTCCTCACATACTGAATATGTGTTGCTTCCTGAGGAAGGCTTCCACAGTTGCTCCCAAGTCATAGCCTGCACATGCAGGACACCACAGAAAATTTATTTTTGTAAACAGAGTGATAGACGGTTAGCACAAGTTAGGTAAGAAGATGGTGGAGGCCAAAACTGTCAGTAGTTTCAAAGTGTTATATACTGTAACAAAGAGTACTGGGAAGATGGGAGACCATGAGTATAGCTCTTATCCTGTCCACACCTGGTAGTTGCTCATGCAACATGTGATCACACCAATAGCAAATGCTAATTACAGGAACATCATCCAGCTGCTTCTTTCACACATGGCCACCAACAACAGCAATGTGGCCTAGCTCTTCCTTAATGCAGGTAGGGAAACGCGTCTATCCTCCTTTTGCTTCTCGTAATGTCAGCAGGAAGTGGTAACTGGCAATTCACCTAGTTATTCTCTTATTTAATTTCCAGATGAATACAGTGATCTGGTCAACTTGGCATGGCAACCAACTTGACATGGACAAGAAAGCTAGTACCTCGTACTGTGAATACTAGACTGTATACTGAATCAAAGAATCACTCCTTGATTTTCCCTACTTGATTTCCCGTGCTTTAATGATCCGACCTCAGCAGCCTCAATCTCTGGCCAATCTTAGCTCATGGTCCAGCTAAGTCAAATCTTACTGGAAGCAGCATATTAGATGGTCATATGATTCCCAAGCATGATATAACAGTCTTATGACAGGTACTAACCTCTGTGTTTTGGCCTATGCCTCAACTGCCCTCTCGTTCTGTTTCATAGGTTCATGACTACGTCTGGCTGGTGATAATGATTAATTGGTCTCATTAATCTATAACTTATGCTACACATTTATGCAAATCATATCTGCTACTTAGCAATTGATCCACTCCATTGTCACATACATTGTTCCCATGTGTGTTTCCCTATGTGTGTTAGCATGGCTCTGGAGTCTCCGCCCAGCATTTCTGAAGAACATATTGCTCAGGCTGTATTTCTAATTTGTAATTTCTCAAGTCTCACAGGAAGGAAGGAAGGAAGGAAGGAAGGAGGGAAGACTCACCATGTTTTGATGGTTAACACTGGTTAAAGATTTCTGATAAAAGAAAGAAATCTTGGAATGTTTCTAGATAAAAAATTGTCACCTGAGGACCACATAAAGAACATTATACTATGAATTCCAACATTAGAATTTCTTTTAACACTTTCGCGCTTTATATTAGAGATAACTCGTCACTGGTTTTTCTTACGATTCCGCATAACTGCCTACTTTTCTCGTCAATCGAAAAAATATTTCTATAAATTCCATTTTTTAACCGAAATGGATGGGGATACTTTTGTTTTGTAGAGAATTTATTTACGAAGTTTTTGGTACCAGAATGAATATTATATCACATAAACTTCTATGAGTAAAAAAAAAAATACACAAAGTATGTTTGGGGGTGTGGCGAGCGTGTGGCAGTGGGTTCCCTTTAGCTGTTGATATATCCAACACGTGGGAAATATTTGTATGTGTTATGTATATGTCTGTGTAGGGAATTTTACTGCGATCACTGTCATACAAATTATAAAATGTTTCAACAAGTATAAACATGACAAACATCAAACGAACGAAAACAATGCATTCGTTTCTGCCGCGAACGCATACTGAGCGACGTGGTTCTATATTTGGCGCTTCTCTTACACATGCTTTGTACCAATGTTATACAGTTCATCTTATAGAAAATTTTATTGCGAACACATTGGTATAAAAAAGAAATACGTACATAGAAAAGTAGGGTCAGGAAACGTATAAACTTTCCAAGCATGATTTCCCCCCTGTGTTTTCGCCAGTGCGCTCGCGGCTAACTACTCTCCACTTCACACACTCTTGCGGGTGGGCAATTACCTATATTAAACATTTATATGCATATGTCCGTGTAGAGAATTTTATTGCGATTCCAATGATACCAAAATTAGCGATGTAGGACAACTGTAGGCTTCGCAACCATTAAGAAAGTGGAAACATTTTGTTGCTGTTTGGCGCTCTCGGCGAGTGATCTGCATAGTTTTTTATTTGGTGTTGATACTCCTTATGCTTGAGCGGCATTTTATAGGTATGCTCTTATAGACAATTTCATTGCGAACACAGTGATACCAAATTTAAATACGTGCGCCTTCAATTATTGTCAGGACAGTCAAAAGAGTGTACACTTTTTCGGTCTTACCGCGTAGGCGCGCGAAGTGCCGAAAGCATCTGGGGTATTGTTTTTTTTTGAGTGCCGAGAGCGCGAAAGTGTTAAGTACATGGTAGTGAAATATTAAAGAAATTGTTCACAACCTTTGTGAGCTGAAATATGCAGCAGTTGTATGGTGCCCATGTCTCAAAAAGCACATCAGTGAACTGGAAAAAGGTGCAAAGGCAAGCATCTAAATGACTCCAAGAACTAAAAACAAGGAGGAGAGATTAGAGGCATTAAATACTGTATACAAAAACTAGAAGGTAGAGGAAAGAGGTGATATGTCACATAGAAAATAGTAACAGAAATCGATAAAACTGATAAAGAATTTTTGAAAACTCCAACCTCAAGAATAAGAGAACATAGGTTCAAACTAAGGAAAGAAAACTGCTGAAAAAATATTAGAGCATTCACTTTCTAATATGGTAGATGGTTGGAACAAGTTAAGTGAGAAGGTTATGGGGGCCAAACCAACCAGTCAGTAGTTTGGAAGCATCATGAGAGTACACTGTACTGGGAAGATGGAACACCACGAGTGTAGTTCTCATCCTGTAACTACACTGGCAATTATTTTACCAATGGTTTTTCTTCTTTGCTTGGATTGATCTAGTATTCCTAGACTCCCTTTGCCTTGAATGAGTAAACCAGGTTCTGCTTCTAGTCTCCTGTAGACACTTATGACACACAAGGGCCTGGTGTGGAGAGTTAGGCTTGGAGCTAACCACTCGGCTGCTTGGGAGCTACTGAGAGAAGCCCTTCCATAAAACCAGTTACTTACTGAACAGATATAGAAGTCTTGTCAGAAAAAAATCTTTGTATTATGTTTTTACATTTGTAAACTGGGATGACTTATACAGGCATAATAATACTGAAGTAGACCTATAAGAAATTGATCTGTACTGTACTGCACTGTACAGTATGTAAAACAACTTTTGTTTTAATTTGGGACTCTTGTAATATGTTAGGATAAGCTAGGTTAGGTAAGGTAAGGATATTATAGATTAGGTTTGGCAGAGCATGAGCAACCAATTTGTCACTGCCATCAAAGTGATTCCTCTCCGCATGAAATATGTATCATTATTAGTTTCATAACTTCTGTAGATATTATAACGAGCCAATTTATTATCAACTGTACTTGAATCCAGATATTAATAATTTTGTTTCCTTTAGGTTGGCATTGTGGGGAGAACTGGTGCTGGCAAGTCATCTTTAACTCTTGCTCTGTTTAGAATTATCGAGGCCAATGGCGGTACCATCGACATTGATGGCATCAATATAGCTAAAATAGGACTCCAAGACTTGAGGCAATGTCTCAGCATTATACCTCAGGTGCTTATGAATGTTCAAAGCTTTACTGAAATTTTAAATTAATATTGTTTTGTTCATCCTTTGCAAATATTTTTTGTTCATACAGAATGCAAAATTCTGAACTTACACATTTCCAATTTTTATGTTATAAAGCATAGGATTGTTATACTGATATTACAGCCCATCCTCCTGTTTTGTTAGTACTGTACTTATAGTAATGATGAGGACCATAGTATATATACCAAAGTACAACAAAATTAGAACATAGAAATCTGAACTATTGAGTTATCTTCTTGAGGTTATCTTGAGATGATTTCGGGGCTTAGCGTCCCCGCGGCCTGGTTCACAACCAGGCCTCTTTTTTTTGTTATCCCCCTCCCCCCAGGAAGCAGCCCATAGCAGCTGTCTCACTCCCAGGTACCTATTTACTGCTAGGTAACAGGGACATCAGGGTGAAAGAAACATTTTGCCCATTTGTCTCCGCCTCCACTGGGGATCGAACTTGGAACCTCTGGACTACGAATCCGAAGCGCTGTCCACCCAGCTGTCAGGCGCCTGACAGCTGGGCAATTTTGACAGCTGACAGGACTTTGTCAGGAGTTGGACAAACCGGAAAACTATTTTTTACTCGTGTTGCTTTGCTTTGACAAACTAAACTAACCTAACCTCCCTAGGCCTATAGTACATATATATGCTATACTAGGCCAAGGAATATTTAGGTTTGTGTTTTAGCTTCATTTATTTTAAAAGAATTCCTTACTAGTCAGTATACTACTATCTAAAAGCTAAGTATGTACGCATTTGTGACAATTCACGATTGTCACAATAGGTACTATCTGAACAAGAGGATGGGTTGGATATTCTTATGTTTAAATAATAATAAAAATTAATATTTATTACAGGACCCTGTTTTATTTAGTGGAACATTACGCATTAATTTGGATCCTTTTGGCACCTATAACGATGCAGACGTGTGGCATGCACTGGAGTTGGCTCATCTTAGCTCCTTTGTTCGTGCTCAAGATCTTGGTCTTCAGACCAACATTGATGAAGGTGGCTCAAACCTCAGGTAAAAATATTACAGTGGAACCTCAGTTTACAAATTTTTCGGTTTACGAGCTTAATTTCTTAAAAAAATTTGACTCCGTTTACAAGCTTTGCCTAGCTTGGCGAGTTTGTTGATACACGTTTGGGTCGACCGAGTGAGTGGTTCCTGGTGGCAAGGGCGAGGCACGCTTCAGTTTACCAATGCCTTCTGCCTAGTGACAATCGCACTTTAATTCTTTGTTAAGAATTTCATTGTTTTGGTGCTTTTTTGGTTTCTGAACATAAAATTAATTATTATATATCATGCCATGGGTCCCAAGTTAGTGGTAAGGTTCAATCTAAGAAAACAAATGTGAGGATGACAGAACAAAAACAATAGATTATTCGTAAACATGAAAATGGTATGAGGGGTTGTTGTACTAGCTAGGCTGGATGGTGCTGATATGAAGGAGTTGGTGGAGGAACACAGTGAAGAACTGGCCACCGACAAACTCCTAGCCCTACACAAGGAGCAGCAACAAGAGACAGCTGAGGAAATTTCTTCAGGGGAAGGAGGAAGCAGTAGAGGATGTCCCTTCCTCATTAATTAAGAAAATGTGTGCAGCATGGGAAGAACTGCAAAGTTCTGCCGAAAAGTGTCACCCAGATAAAGCTGTAGCATGCCATTGTATTAACCATTTTAATGACAATGAGATGTCTCACTACAGACAAGTGTTAAAACATAGCAAAAAATAATTGTCTATAGACAGATTCTTAGTAAGACAAGCAAGCGGAGACCCACAACCAGGTACCAGTGGTATGCCTGCAAAACGTAGGAGAGAGAGTACCTCAGGGAACATTATCACAACCTGATGTTATAATGGAAAGGGATTTCCCTTCCAAACACTAACACCTCTCCTCCTCCCCCCCTTCCTCATCGTCTTCCATACGCCAGTGAGAGTCATCAATAAAGGTAAGATATAACTTGTACATACTATAGTACAAAATATTTGTAGTATTAGATATGAAATGTATTTTGAAGTTAATATTTTTGGGAGTGTGGAACGGATTAATTCAATTTACATTATTTCTTATGGGAAAATTTGTTTCAGTTTACGAATCGTCTCAGGGAATGGATTAAATTCGTAAACGGAGATACCACTGTATGCATAATTTATCTATAAATTGTTATATAAGGAAATAAATGGAATGTTACAAGAGACTTCTCACACAGCCTCAAGAAGAAACATAAAGAATGTTCTTAATTATATCATCTCAACTTGTTTAAAAAACTTCAAACATTAATCAGTTCATTTTATACTAAACCTTCATTTGTAAAAATGTTGTGTTCTCAGTCTAGGTAACTTAATCCCCCAATGTTCTTTGTCAAACAAGTTGCTCCTAAATTGTCATATCAGCCAAGTTTTAATATCATTGTGTAATGTAACCTGTAAATGTAAAATCATAGTGTAATGTGCAAATTACTAAATTATCACACTGCAAGTATAAAATACACCATTGCAGTGAAAAGCAACTACAGATATGTGTTGTCTAGATGAGTAAATGCTCTCATGTTTATCATTATCTCTTAGCTATTTTTAACTTTCATCAGATTTCTTCTGATGAAAGAAGAATCAATTGCAGAAACTAAATATACATACTGTATGCATACAGGGTGCACAGATTATTGTGAGTGTACTAATAAGCTGTTACTTTTTAGCGTTGGCCAACGACAACTTGTTAGCTTAGCTCGGGCTCTGCTCCGTAAGTCTCGTATTCTGGTGTTAGATGAAGCAACGGCAGCTATCGACCTGGAGACTGATGATCTGATTCAGACCACTATCCGATCTGAGTTTGCTGACTGCACAGTGCTCACAATTGCCCATCGTCTCAACACCATTATGGATTGTGACAGGTTAGTCTCACTCTAAAACCTTGTTATGTACTTAGAGTACTCCATTATGTAAATTAAGTGTAGCAAATTATTTTTCCTTTATTCTTATGATTTGCAGATGCATTTGTTTTGCTGTTTCCTGAGCCCAACTTTACTTCTATTGTAAGACTTTATGGTAAATTACACTGACTATATTTCATCATGTAAGTTTTGTGAAATATTCAACTAATAATTCATTGATGAAATAAGCATGTCTATAAAAAAATTCAATATATATATACTTAGAAAAAGGATAACAAGATAACTCATTACGGTTGGTTATACCTTATTGTTCACTTCAGTTATAATTCCTCATCTACATCAAATAAACCATTTACTATTAGATGTAAACAAAATAAAATCCCGCAGTTTTTCTTTTGGCTAGCACTACTGCATTATCAAGTGAGAATTCATCTTTCTCATTGCTTAGTAGTCTATATAATGTTTACATACTGCAGTACTTGTGTGGCAAATGCTGCTTCTTTAACCCTTAAATTGCTTAACCATTTTCAGGCAATTGGCCCATATGCTCCAATCGCCTGGAGCTGATTTAAGGTGCCCCATTTTTTAAATAGCCCCACCCAATCTTGGGGAACGTCATTTGACAGTAAAGACTTCTGTCAGTCATTTGTCATATTTGAAAAAATCCTTTTGTTTCCTTTGAGGGGTCTTAGTAAAAATATGATGAGTATGTCTGGTGCACCATTCAGTGTTTGAATGTGAAGGGCAGTCCTACAGGAATCATCGAACTTTTAACAACAGCAAATGATTACCATGTATATATTTACAGGCAAAATGTGCACTATGTGCATTTATAAGTTGCTGATGAAGACATAAGTCAAAAGCACTTTAGCTTATTTCCCAAGTCAATATGGTTACTCCACATATTAGTACAGTATGACTAAATATAGGGTGTGCATATGTGTACACACATTTTTTCAAATTAACACCACTATTGACATCATTACAACATGTTAGCATGAAAACTAAAACAAATTGAGAGAATGAAATAAATCGACAAAGTTATTCCCTGTGTGTGGCACCTTGAATTGCTTTTACCAAAAAATGCCGCTTCATAGGGCCACTACAGCTAAACCACGAGAGGTAGACTTTTACTTGCATTTTATAAAAATTGGAACAGTAATAGCATGCACATTCAGAGGGTTAATGCATCATGTGAAGACCTTTATGTTTCTCTCTACAGAGTGATGGTGATGGACAAGGGCAAGATAGCAGAATTTAACACGCCAGCTGCACTACTGGCTAGCAGAGATTCCATCTTCTATGGGATGGCAAAAGATGCTGGTCTTGTATAGATACTCGTGTGCATTTAATATATCATTATACAGTAAATGTATTTAACAAATTGGTATAGCATTGTTTTCAAATATAGAAAATGTGTTACCAACAGATAATTTGCTGTCTACTGTGAACTAATAATAAGCATTAACCAGAAAGTTTCATGAACTGGCTTCTTAAGAGATTCAATAGGAATATTTTAAACAATACAGTACATGAATAATTGTGATAAATTACTCATTTTACCACTTTTTTTTCTAATTAAACTAAATTAAATTTGTTGAGACTGGAAACAAAAAACCTGTTGGGGTACAAAGTAAAAAAAAAAAAAAAAACTGAACGAATTAAAACTTCTCTGACTGGAGGAGCCTCGGTGGCTCCCTGAAGTTATCTTGCTGAGATTGCTCCATACTAAACGTTATAAGTCACAGAAGTTCTGTTTGATGTACCAGGCACCAGAGTCAAAACCTGGCACCCTTCACAGAGGTGCCGGGAGCCAGCAACAATCCAACACCCTACCAGAAAAAGCCTTCAAAACTTCAGGGAAGTTTTACAGACAACTGGGGGTTCCCAGAAAATGATGCCTCAAAACCACTTAACAACTCTGCAAATGATTCACACAAACACGTAATTCACTCTAACTAGCTTGAAACATTTTAGTACAGGACTCCTCCTGAACGAAGAGTTTCATTACAATCAATGCTGGGTTTCTGGAGGGAGCCACCCCCTCCCTTCCATCCTCCCTGGTGGCATCCTAAAGCTAACCGCAGAGAAACAAAAACGGGACTTAGCAGAAAGGAGAGGTGGCAGGCACTAGAACGAAGAGGATAACCAAGTCCACAAGACACAGCCAAATGTTGCACACGACCGACTGGGACCAGGAACACTGACCAAATGTTGGGTCGCTAGAATGCCAAAGTCCTCGAGCCCAAATATTAGTCCAGGATATGTTGGAGAAGACAGCGGCCAAAACTGTATGTACTGTATTTGTGAACATCATGGGCTCAAGGGTAGACCGCTGGGTGGCTAGACTTAGATGACCTGAGAAATGCAAGCCTTAAAATAGGGAATCAAGGAAACAGGGTCAACAAACAAGCATGCAGCTCTGGCTGAACCAAGCATCAATCATTAAAGAACCCCTCTGGAAGCGTGCTAACTCATTCATCAGAAAAGAAGGTGGTGGCAGACTACCCACCTACTAGAGCTAAAGGATCAAAGCCCTCCCCCTCCTCCTGAGAAGAGCCTAAAGCTCCACAACCCAACAATTGGAAGTGATACCCATCAAAAAGACAATTTTTGACAGACAGCCTTAAGAAAGATATCATGAGCCAAAATTAAAACCATAAACCGAAATGAGGAGGAGCATGAACAGGCCTGAAGTAAAAAAAAAATATATATACGAGACAACCTGTGAAATGGTGCCATGGAGGTGTTGACACCAAATGCAAGTAACAGAGGCTCTGCCAATGCCAAACGAAAAGAGGTAACATTATTAGTGAATCGGATACCGTGCAAGAAACAAGCACGACAAAAAGGACAGGTCAGACCAGATCGAAACCAAAAAGACGACAAATTGACAAGAAGTGGAGAAATGAGCGCCAAGCATCTTCATGCTGTTGCTGTGAGGAAAGACACGGGTAAGACACCAACAAACTAGCAACCATTTTTGCCATACAAATGGTAATAGACATGTGTCAAACACCAAATGCAAAGAGCAGAGGATGAGTTCAAACCAACAAAGTATACTAACAAGTCAATCTGCTCTAAAAAAGACAGCCACCGGGTTTCGGATCAAGCTAGGAGCACCAGACGCCAAGACTAGCCTGGCTACCTAGCCAGAAGGATCACCCTCCTTGAGTATGATTCCAGACTGGACAGCATCTCGAGGACCCACCAAGGAAAAAGGTAAGGGAACCTCTGCCTCAACCAGTCCAGTCGAAAGGCATCCACCGCGAGAGCCTTGCGATTGGGAAAAGGAGCTAAGTAAGAGGTAAGGTGTTGGTTCCATGCCAATGTGAAGAGGTCCACCTTGGGACAACTTAACATCTCGCATCCAGTAGTAGGAAATATCATCAACAGTCTACTCTGTGGAAATGGGACGGAAGATGGGATAACCCATCTGTGAAAATGTTGGACACAGCCTGCATGTGAACTGCTGGGCAAATCAAACCCCGCCTGTTGAGCTGGACGTTTTGGGTAGCTGAGCTACCCAAAGTGTAGAAGATTGGCCTTTTCTTTCTGAAATTCAGCCTTATCCTGGTAATGTAATCCCATGTAACCACAATGTGGGTAAATGCTCCCCAACCATCTCAGTTTTCTCAGTATATTTAGCCTTTTCTTCTATGTTATAATATCTTCTTTTCCTCCCTACCTGATTCAGCCTGACTAGTACTGCTAGTAGATACTGTATATTTATTTTCAATTAATTAAATATCCTTAGAAAAGGTTTATCCAGTAAGAAATTCTTACCACCAGATCAAGGTTCATTTTAATTGTGGTCTATAAGAATATAGGCTCCACTGACATTGTACTAAAATACTATGCAGTGCTCCATCAAAAATCCAGATGTTCATTTAACAGATCTCTCAAAAGGTCAAAATCCTGCCACTGGACCCACCAAATTTTGTATTTCTCTCAAGATTTTTCATATAAAATCTTGATCCAAAGAAAGTTTTGATCATGGTAAAGTTGATGGGCCTATTTCAGCTTCAACATCCAGGGAGGGGGGGGAGGTCGTGGCCCTATCTTTGAAAAATAAGCTTTAGGGGCTGAAAGGGCACCTGGGGAATAATGGAGATGAGTATGAGATCTCAACAGTTAGGTTCTACTGGGAGATTTTCATCATGTGATACATTGAAATAAAAATTCCACTTAATGAAATTTGCACAGATCCTGGGGGAAAATTGGGGAATGAATGGGAATTCCTAAAATACTGTACTACATTGCTTGTTTTTAAATATTTATATAGAAGAGCAAAATATAAATAGTTGGTGCCATAATTAAAACAAAATTCAGCGATTTGTTTTCATTTCGAGTTCAACATGAAAAATATGGAAATTCGGTAATAGCCACAAAACCAGTGTTGAATGTAATGAAATGCCATTTTCTGGGTGAGCCCCGGAGGCTTCCTTGAGCTTATTGGGCTAATGTGTGTTATATTAGACCGGGACATTAGCTATGGAGTTCAGACCTACCAGGGACCAGCTCCAGAACCTGGCCCCTTTCAGAAAGGTTTCAGGGAGAAATGGCCCTGGAAAACCCGCCTGTGATTGGGGGTTTTCCTTATCTGCCATCGACCGGGGTTAGGCACCCAGAAAGGTAGGGATAACAAAACAAACCCCACATGGTAAGAAACTAACAACAAAAACCGAACAGAGAGGTAGAACTCCCTACAATCCCAAGGAAACAAGCAAACAAGCAAATATCACACTTTACTGCCGCGCCCGCGCAGCCCTTCCCTCCCCAAGAGGGGAAGGGGGGCCCCCAGACCTTTGTTGGGAGTTCTACCTCCTGTTTGGTTCTTGTTGTTAGTTTCTTACCATGTGGGGTTTGTTTTGTTAAGCCCACCTTTCTGGGTGCCTAAACCCGGTCGATGGCAGATAAGGAAAACCCCCCAATGATGGGGGTTTTCCAGGGCCATTGCTCTCTGGAACCTCTCTAAAGAGGCCAGGTTCTGCCGCTGGTCTCTGGTAGGTCTGAACTCCATAGCTAATGTCCCAGTCTAATATAACATACATTAGCCCGATAAGCTTCAGGAAGCCGTAGGGGCTCCCCTCAGAAAAGTGCAATTTTTTTTTAATCTGGATGAGGTCTGAAATAATGTGATCTGGGTTTTTTGAAGGAAGCACTGCACATGTTAATATTAAACTGACAGTGCAAAGAAAACAGTACATTCCATTCACCTGGACTGGACATTATTTCCACGGAAATGTGGATGGCAATTTATAAAACAGTACTGTACAATACTATTATATAGCACTAAGAAAATCACATTTGTGCAACATAACTGTTGTACAATTGAACTACTGTATTGTACATTCAATTTTCATTGTACAAGCTTTTGTACAATGAACTTCCAAACAGGCAGATTTGTACATAATGCTTTTAATATTTGAAAAAAAATAAAAAAATTTGCACATGTTGATATATAATTTACTTGGAAAAAATAAATTTGTATATACAGCATTTTTTTTTTTTTTCAATTTTTTTGAACCTTATTCTGGTCCAGTGAGTACATAAACTCACTCCAACGAAACTCATCAGTTCTTCCAGTTATAAAATACTGTATCATAAATGTCCAGTGGAGCATCAAGTCTCCAAGATCAATGACGAAGTTACAAATGCACTTTTTATACACTGATATGCACATAATTTACATTTAATTCTAATTAATGAAGTAAGTTCCAATATTTAGGTAATTTTTATGCAGTATGTATCTTAATTCTGACAGTTTACCTAGCTTTTCCATTCTAGGAACAACAATGCATTCTTAAACACTTCACATTGACACTTTGAAATTGATCAGATCTTCTTTAAAATTGAAACTGATCAATCCAGATAGTTAGCAGCAGAGTCAGTCTTGCAGATTTGACCAGCACAAATAGTGGTTCTGCAAATGTTTATTCGTTAGATTCTAGAATTCAATGCTAGAGAAGACTTTCAATTTGTCCCCATATTTACACAAAGGAAACCTAGATCGGGTAACAGATTCTCATTTGATTCAGCTTTTTTAAAATGTTAAAATATGCAAAATTAATTTGGATCCACATTTTTATAAGTTCAGAATGAAGTAACTTACTTGGCTGGGAAATATGATGTGAATTACAAAATGCTCTACAAGCAGCACATAGTAACTGAAAAAAAAAATCCACGAGGAAATTGAAGAGGATGGAAAAATATCTGATGCCCAGAAGAAATTCATAGTTAAATCCTACTTAGTGTTCTTAGATTGATGACCAAACCACACACAAGAAGATGAAGCAACAACGACGTTTTTGTCCGTCCTGGACCATTATCAAGTCATATGTGGAGCCACGACAACGGGAATCAAGTGCAACCCCAAAAGTTGAGCAGAATCCTTATACAGACAGAGACTACCATAGAGCAACAATGGTGGACGAAGAATGACGTGACGAATGAGAATCTAGTGCGTGCTAGTTTCACTAATTTTTGATAGTTTGTGTACATTGTTGGAAGCGTCCTTTTGGCAGTTTTGATGGTGCAGTCTCGTTCTAACCATGCAATGGTTTGTTTTGTTTCGCTGACTTTCTGGGTGTTTTTCCTGATGGTGGCAAACACGAATAACTTTAAATGTAAGGTTGTCATAGTGCCACTAATCCCTGCACCTATCTAGAGGGGGACCAGGTTCCTCACTTGTGGTCCCCGATAGGCCAATAAGAACTCCAACACTGATGGCAGCTAGTAGTATAGCACTGAATCAGTGTAATAGCTTCAGGAAGCTTCAAGGTGCTCCCCCCAGCAAAGGTAAGGTAATACAGTACAGTATACAGAATACAAATTAAGATGGATATAAACCGGTAAAAGAAAAACAATTAAAATTTGATAGAGTAATACAGTATATTAATTTACCTTAATACAATTCATAATGCAGAATTAACCACATCATGTATGAGTCTCTTCTAGAACAATATAGCATATGTTTGCCATATCGGTCATATTTTTTGAACCTTCAGTAACTTGCACCACTTTAAATTTTTCCTGACTTTCCATCATTTCTATGCTGGCTCCTGCATATGTTGTGATTATCTTTTCCTGCTTCTGAGTAGTATGTTGCACCTGGTGAACTTCACGGCGGTCATCACCTTGCTGTTCCTCTTCGGAGTGTATGTACTCTCCACTGTCCTCAAGGTCATACTGACTCGGCACAATTTCAATACCAACGGTCTCTCCATTATAAGTTAAACTCTGAGATACTATTTTTGAATTTCTCGGCTGGTGTTTACGCAAGCAATTATTTTCTCGCTGGTGACGAGCATAACTTTTAGATAATGTGTCCTCCCAAGCCACACCATGTTTCTTTATCAAATGGGACCTAAGTTTTTTACGATCAGAATAAGCCTTTGCACAATAAGTACACTCGCTCATTATTTTTTCCATATGTCGCCTTTTACCATGTTCTGTCATATCACTTTTACGTTTGAAAGTCTTCCCACACTGTGGACACGAATACACTTGAGTACTGTGGACATATATTCTATGTTGCCGTAATTGGTGATACTTCTCAAACTCTATATGACACATATCACAAGACCACTTGTTGTTTGCATGTTCATACGAAATGTGACATTTTAGACTAGACTTTATATTAAACTTCATGGCACAAAAGTTACAAGAAAACTTTTTTTGATTTTCATGCATATTTGCTATATGTATATCGATGTACTTAGCACTGTACATTTTGCCACACACTTTACATTCAACAGGTGGCAATACACTCAGACCATGCTTTTCCTGCATGTGTTTCTCCAGCTGGTTCCGTGTCTTAGAGTGGAATATACACATTTTGCATCTGTGTTTTAGTGGAGGCTTCTGTGACCTATTGTGCACCTTAGATAAGTGAAGTCGTAGAGATCCTATTCCATGTAGTCTCCTACCACAGAGATCACATTCCACCATCACTAACCCATTAACTCCACCTACTCCATACACATCCCCATGGGATGAACGTTTGTGTCTCACCAGCAAGAGGCGATTAAGAAAGATGTCCCCACACAAATTACACACAATTTTTTTTTTCTTTTCAGTTTTTTTCTTTGAGGCATTTAGTTGAAGTTTAGGTGCTTCAGATCCCTTTTGTACATGTTCTAAATCTGAACCAAGGGCCTTAGATAGCTCTAAGCGATGGTCAATAACGCCTCCATATCCATCATCTTCCAGAATGACAACAGAGTTTTCGTGGCAGGTGTCTATGTGGTTATTTAGATCTTCTGGGCTATCACAAATCTGGTTACATAACTTACATCTAACTTTGGTTTTAGCCCTCAAAATCATTGGTAAAGAGTCAATACCAGAGAATGTAGTTTGTACCTTGCATTCTTCACCAATCTTGTGTTTATTCACTTTAACTGATTCTGAGTGCTCCAAGCACTCGTGTTTCTCTAAGTCCACTAGGCTTGTGAACGACTCTGCACAAACTCTACAGCAAAATTCTGTGCTACAGTCAATCTTTGAATTCTCTTTTTTAAATACCTGTATACTAAATTCTTTATTCTCATTAGCTCCAATATAATTTTGGCTGTCATCTGGCACTGATAAAGCATCATCTTCAGTGTTTATGTTGGTTATTTCACCTTTTACAGTAGTGATAATGCCTTGCTCTCCCAGTCCTTCACAAACTGGTGTATCATTATCTGTTAGAGTGCAGCCAAACACTGCATCACTCTCAGAGTTTTGGACTCCAGTGTGGTCATCCCACATCCCTTCAGTTTTTAATTTTATTGAATTTTCAACCATGTGTGTCTCAGTGCTGTTACTCCAGTCCATCACGTTTGCATCCTCCGAGATATGGCACAAAAACTCTTCATCAATAACCATATTGTGGTAGTTGCGTAGATGCTGCACCAACTCTTCACATACCGAGAAAGTTCTACTGCATGCAGGGCACTTTCGTGTATTTATGTTCTCGGACTTCCAATTCTGTCTTGAATCTTCTCTCTCTCTCATGCTAACCTGCTCTATTTCCTTTGCAAGAAGTGTTTTAAGAGTTGGTTGTAAATTAAATAATCTCCATTTTTTCTCTACTCTATGCACAGCACTTTGGTGAAGATTCCAGTCTCCCTCGCCATACAAATCCATTCCACAAAATCCACATATACGCATCTTATTATTTGAAAGCTCTTGTTTAAATTTTACCTTGTGCACTTTTCCATCAACATAACTTGTCAGTGAATCATTCTCTTTTGACATGTTTGGTTTAGGTAAAATTGATTTACAACTTTTATACACATTTTGAGAGGATTGCACTGGAGTTTTCTTTAGACTCTGTGACTCATAGTTTGCCTTCAAAGCATTATCACTGCCATTTGAATCAACAGGAACCATTAATATTTCACTGTCATTTGTGGGCCACAGTTCCCTCATCTGTGATATAACAGATAATAATTGCTGGTACACTACATCACCATCTGAAACCAGAGTACAGCACTGCTGACACACAACAATACTTAAATTGTTCTTGGTAATTCCACTGGCATATAATGGGGAGGATATGCCCAGGCACTGCAGCAGAGATATGGGATCTAACAAACTTGATGGTAGTGGTTTGTCAAGTGCCAAGCTAGTGTTCCCTTCAGCTCTCTTTAATCTACACCTGCAGAAACCACAGTTATGGCTACTGCCATCCTGTATTTCAGAGTGTGAATCTACAATATCACTTGGTGTCTTGCTGTTAGTCATTCTCCTTGTTACTCCTGTAATGTTATTATCTCCATCATCATCAAGCTGCCTTGAGATCAACACATCATCATTGCAAATAGAATGTGATGAGTTTTTGATCACATGTTCTTGGTTTGTTGAAGGTTCATTATCCAAAGTGGAAAGATTTAACCGATCATTAACTTTCAGTTTGATTTGTAAAGGTTTGTTGGCAATTTGTGCTGTAGGAAACCCTCTTACCTTAGAAGAACCATTTGTCCTTCCTTCATTCATCTCTCTAGTTATCAATATAGTACCAGAAGGTTCATCACAAGCACCATTTTTGCTGGAGGAACACTTTGCAGAAATGTTACGTATTGTACGTGGTGCAATTGTTCTGACAACAACAGAGCCTGTCTTTTTAATTTTAACTTTAGGACAACTCGAAGCCTTATCGTGATCATTATTCTGCAGTTTAGAGGAAACCAATGGGGATCCACCACCTGGTACAGCTAGTGGCATCACATTTATTGAACTCTGTTTAATACTAACTGAAGCAACATTTATCATAGCAGAACCAATATGCTTACAATCATCCGCAACAATGATGCTCTGACTCTTTGTAGTAAAATCTTGTTTTGCCTTGGTAGTAAAAGTTGTATCTAAAGGAGAGGACACAATTATGTGAGGCAAGATGCCATCACTGCTACCAAACTTTTGTTTACAACTGAAAGTTTCAGTTGAATAAGAATCATTTATGTTGATAGTGACTAGGTCTTTCTTACTGTTACTAAAGTCACCAATACAGATATTAGCTATGCTGAGACCTGGATTTTGTTCAGGTCCAGCAGGTGCATCAAACTGTATTTCATCTCCAATAGTTCCCGAGTTCTGTTCATATTTACTTGAAGCATCAACTTGTGCATCAAGTATAGGATTTTCCAATTCCTGTTCATCTTTGCCATGGACATCAGAATGTTTGCAAGCCATGAGAGATTCTGTGCCTTTGTAAGTTTTGCTGAAAGTATCTTGTGGATCTTCAGCATTCATGGCTCCACTCTCCACCTGGAAAGAAAATTAAAGCAAAATGCACAAATAAGGAAAATAAATAATTTAAACGTCATAACATAAAATAAATGAGCAATAATTCTACATATATCCAAGGTAAACATTCTGAATTTGGCATTCAGGTTTGTACTATGGCCATGCAAAAATTAAAAAACACCAGATGTATTCTAACTTTGTTTCAACTTATTAGAAATTAAGGGTACAGGAAACAAGTTTCTAAAACTTATCAAACACCTTCAAATTTGTTTTGCATAGTCTACATGGCTAATGCTCCCAACTTTTCTTAAATGGTCATGAACACAACATTAACCATAACTACCTCTTACTTAAACTCCACCATTATGGAATCCGAGGCCTTGCCCTGAACTATATCCGATCCTATCTTAGTGACAGACCAATATGTAGCCATCAAGGATACAACCTCTCCCACTCTACCACTAACCCTAGGGGTGCCACAGGGCAGCATCCTAGGACCTCTCCCACTCTACCATTAACCCTAGGAGTGCCACAAGGCAGCATCCTAGGACCTCTCCTATTTCTTATATACATCAATGATCTGCATAATGTCTCCAACATTCTTACACCTATATTATTTGCTGATGATACTACCCTCATCTACTCAGACCCCAACCCACTCACATTAAATAATGTTGTAAATAATGAATTAAAGAAAGTCCACTTATGGATGTCAATCAACAAACTCACACTAAACATAGAAAAGACCTATTACATGTTATCTGGATGCAAATCAACATATGCAATTTAGCTTCAGATAGACAATGTTAATATCAGCAATAAAAATAATGGAAAGTTCTTTGGCCTATACATAGACAGGAGACTCAACTTCAGCACCCACATACAACACATAACCAAGAAAGTCTAAAAAATCAACCCATCCTCTGAATTGACAGTACGGTTTAATACTAAGTGTAATAAGTACATTTCCTGACTGTCATACATAGTACAAAATTGCATTTATGGGGCTGTTACATTTACCTCCCCATTTATACTCCTCGTTTTCTGTTAAGACACTCAGAATTTTAGGATGAAGTTTTCAAGTTCAATTTGCTATACACAAGTTTTAAATATCAGGAATTTCTTTTTCAGTTTTATTAAACAATAGAGATTTTATACAAAATTTTAAAATATCCTGAGTTACTTTACAATTTATTGAAATATTTCAGTTTTGTTTTATTAGTTTTATAAAACTAATACCAATATAGCTATAGGCTAAATACTGATTGTAATTAAGAAGCAATAAAATGCTAATCTTCAAACACTAAGAAGGTTAGGTTAGATCGTGGTTTTCTATTCAGCTTAACAGGTAAACTCAAATATTCACAATATACAGTATTTGACAGTACTGTTTAATACTAAGTGAAAATAAGTACAAATATTGACGGCTAGGAATAGTACATAATTACACTTACTTGTGCTGTTACATTTATCTCCCCAATTTTGGAGGATAGGTTGCAAAAATGGTTGGTATACTCTCTAAAATCAGATTTTATGTTCCAAACTCTGCTCTCCTCTCATTATACTACGTGCTAATCTATCCCTATCTCACATATGGTATCTGTGCATGGGGTTCAACCTTTGCTAAATACCTCTAGCCCATCATCACCCAGCAAAAATCTGCTATCAGAACAATAACAAAATCTTGTTTCAGATAACACTCAGCCCCTCTGTTTAAATCCCTAAACATGCTAAACATAAACTCACTCCACACATTCACTTGTGCCATTTACATTTACAAAACCCTGTTCTTAAATGCAAACCCTGTTCTGAAACTTTCCCTGAACGGATGTAATAGGATCCATAATCACCACACCAGAAATATCTCTTGGATATTTCCTGAGTAAAACTTAATCTGTGTAAGCACTCTATGCAAATAAATGGACCTAGTCTATGGAATTTACTCCCTAACAAATTGAAAAGCTGTCTAACTTTTGCCTCATTCAAAAACAAAACCAAAACGTACCTAATCTCATCTTCTTAGTTTCCTACCTAATGCTTTAATCGCACTGAATCTAGTGCTACCCAATCCCCCAATATATGTACCTAAGCCATACAAGTTTTACCATTGTAATCATTGCTATCATCTTATATCATGGTTGTTATATTGATTATATAACACATATTCTATTGCATTATACCTTGAATTAATCCTCAAATTATGCTACCATGTACCTGTTTATAACCCTCAAATTTTACTTTAATGTACTCACCTAGTTGCAAATAAATATTACATGTGCCTACTAATCTTTGAAAAATTTTCTTACAATGTACCTGTTAACATTTTATAAATTTTGCTAGAAATTACCCACTTAAAATTATCTGTTAGATTTAGGGCCTGCCCAAAATGCTATGCATACAAGTGGCTTTACAAGAATGTAACATCATCAATGTAATGTATATCATGGTTGTTATATTGAATGCATATTTTACTGCATTATACCTTGAAATAATCCTCAAATTGTGCTACAATGCACCTGTTGATAACCCTCAAATTATACTTTAACGTACTACTAATCTTTGTCAAATTTTCATACAATGTATCTGTTAAAAAAATTTCATTGTTGCTAGAAATTACCTACTTAAAACATTATCTGTTAGATTAAGGACCTGCCCGAAACACTATGCATGCTAGTGGCTTTACATAAATGTAAAATCATTAATGCTATGTGCTCTCATAAACCCTATGCACCTTCTTGTATATATATAAATAAATATATACTTCAATTCTTCCTCCGTGGTCTCATTTTTCATCACGTGTTAATTTTCGTGATTTACACACACAAATAAATAAATGAGAAAAAAATTACATTAAAAATTTAAAATTTCAGATTTTCAAATCGGCTTAAAAATATAAAACATCATCAAATGATCATTTGGTGTTATTATGGTGCAATAGCAAATAATCTTCATGTTCATTATTGTAGAATACAGTATAGTTTGGCAGTAGTTTATTGTAAAAAAAATTTGTCAATGTGGTATTTTAAAGGAGAAATTGAGTACATATAATCTTGGATAGTCAATAAGCAGTCTGAGAGCAATAGTACACCAAGAACTTCAACAAAAATCTTGTAGGTCTGAGGCAAAGCAAAATCAACACCAGTAATTCCATCTATCATCATACTATCATGCGAGAGGAGTCACACAGCCAGCAGTGGGGCGCTTGATGGCTGAGTGGACAGTACTCAGGACTCGTAATCCTGAGGACTGGGGTTCTATCCCTGGCAATGGCGGAAAACAAACGGGAAGTTTTTTTTTCACCCTGATTACCTGTTACCTAGCAGTAAATAGGTACCTGGGAGTTAGACAGCTGTTATGGGCTTCTTCTTGGAATTGTGTGTGTAATTACCTAAGTGCAATTACCTAAGTGTAGTTACAGGATGAGAGCTACGCTCGTGGTGTCCCGTCTTCCCAGCAAAATATGTAATCGATGAGTAAATCGAAAGGAAGACTCTCGTTGGATCTATGGGCTCGACCTGGAGATGCTAAGGACCCCAGAGGTAGCTCCCATTGGCAGGTCATGACTCTTCCTAACATGTCGTATGTGTGTGGGGGAAAAAACAAATGCTCGTTGATTAATTGACAGTTGAGAGGTGGGCCAAAGGAGCAGAGCTCAACCCCCGCAAGCACAACTAGGTGAATACACATCTATGGATCATTCAATAAAATCAGCAGACTTCCAGATGTTACTACTGTTCGGCTTAGACTCGGTTACAACTATCTCTGGGAATTCTCATTATCTGATGTAGACCTGACCAAATGTAAACTGTGTCAACAAAATTATTCGCACACCCTCCGTCACTTTGTGATGGAGTGCGAAAAGATACGTGAATTTAGAGACAATTCTATAATCAATGTTCCTATGATGTGTAACTATTTCATTCAAAATGATCTGCTACCAGAAATTTTAGCCAAATATCCCCAGCTTGCTAACTGTAGATAGTAACTAAGTGATTGTAACCTATCCATCGCTGCCCACTGGATGGGGGGCGGTGTGCAGGACATACTTTATATCAATGTTTTTTCGTGTTGTTTGACACTAGTTCTCCACATATGTCAGTTGCTTAATTTAGAACCTGTACTTGTGGTCGATCTCGAAGCTCTCCCATTGTTGATGTGACGACTTATATTGAATTGTTTGTAACTAGCTCATCAAGATTGTAACTTGCTTAGCTAAATGAATTGTGGGGTTCAGTCCCTGAGCCCATTATGTACCTCTGTAACCCTTTCCACTACCACCCACAAGATGGGTATGGGGTGCATAATAAATGAACTAAACTAAACGCTCTCACCAGGTTTCAGTTTACGGTGGTGAAGGCTTTGGTGACGTAAACCATAAGACCTCCACACTCAAGACCCAATATTTACCCTTGTAAACTGCCCGAGCTACGAGCCTAAGACTCTTAGGGAACCATTAAATGATTAATAATGATATAATAAAAAAATTGAAATTGGGGGAGATATATTTTGATTTAATAATAATAATAATAATAATAATAATAATAATAATAATAATAATAATAATAATAATAATAATAATAATAATAATAATAATAATTATAATAATAATAATAATAATAATAACAATACCTGTAATAATAATAATTATTATTGTAATTTGTAGTTTAGTTCATTTATTATGCACCCCATACCCATCTTGTGGGCGGTAGTGGAAAGGGTTACAGAGGCACATAATGGGCTCAGGGACTGAACCCCACAATTCATTTAGCTAAGCAAGTTACAATCTTGATGAGCTAGTTACAACATTCAATATACGTCGTCACATTATCAATGGGTTCGAGATCGACCACAAGTACATGTATGCAATAATGTAAATAATTTATTTTATTTATTTATTATTTATTTATTTATATACAAGAAGGTACATTGGGTTTATGAGGAAAGGGTTACAGAGGCACATAATTGGTTCAGGAACTGAACCCTCTAGTTCGTTTAGCTAAGCAAATAACAATCTTTTGACGCTAGTTACAAAATTAATAATGTTATATATACATGTACACATACTCATGCATACATGTACATATACATACGTATACATACATACATACATACATACATGCACATACATATTTAGTCACCCACACAAATACACACATCAATAATCTTTTGTGTCACAAGTGATCAACAAGAGGCTCACAACAGTCACTATACAAGGCATTTTACATCTATGATCAGTCGCACAGTTACTAGTCTTGCTGCACACCCACCCAACTGGGCGGCAGCTTTAGTCATGTGCTCCACACCCACCCAACTGGGCGGTAGCTTTACAGTCATGTGCTCCACACCCACCCAACTGGGCGGCAGCTTTACAGTCATGTGCTCCACACCCACCCAACTGGGCGGTAGCTTTACAGTCATGTGCTCCACACCCACCCAACTGGGCGGCAGCTTTACAGTCATGTGCTCCACACCCACCCAACTGGGCGGTAGCTTTACAGTCATGTGCTCCACACCCACCCAACTGGGCGGCAGCTTTACAGTCATGTGCTCCACACCCACCCAACTGGACAGCAGCTTTACAGTCATGTGCTCCACATCCACCCAACTGGGCGGCAGCTTTACAGGCATGTGCTCCACACCCACCCAACTGGGCGGCAGCTTTATAGTCATGTGCTCCACACCCACCTAACTGGGCGGCAGCTTTACAGTCATGTGCTCCACACCCACCCAACTGGGCGGCAGCTTTACAGGCATGTGCTCCACACCCACCCAACTGGGCGGCAGCTTTATAGTCATGTGCTCCACACCCACCCAACTGGGCGGCAGCTTTACAGTCATGTGCTCCACACCCACCCAACTGGGCGGCAGCTTTACAGGCATGTGCTCCACACCTACCCAACTGGGCGGCAGCTTTACAGTCATGTGCTCCACACCCACCCAACTGGGCGGCAGCTTTACAGTCATGTGCTCCACACCCACCCAACTGGGCGGCAGCTTTACAGTCGTGTGCTCCACACCCACCCAACTGGGCGGCAGCTTTACAATCATGTGCTCCACACCCATCCAACTGGGCGGCAGCTTTACAGTCATGTGTTTTACACCCACCCAACTGGGCGGCAGCTTTACAGTCGTGTGCTCCACACCCACCCAACTGGGCGGCAGCTTTACAATCATGTGCTCCACAGCCATCCAACTGGGCGGCAGCTTTACAGTCATGTCTTTCTGTAAAGGAGTCAGGAGTGAGTCTGGGTCGAGGGAGGGGAAAGACGTACCGTGCGCGCTCCGTTAAAATCGTGACATTAACCGGGATTTCTTAGGACTACAGCCATGGATTACTGATTACAGATATCACAAAGTGCATAGTGACCCACTGGAAAATTGAAAATAGTCATTAACAATGGAACTTTGTGTTAAATAGAGAATAAACGGGAGACCACGTGGGAGCCAGTACACGAGGCTTTGTGTATATGCGTGTAGGCGATATGAGGAAAAAATAGTGAACAGTGATTCGTGGAACAGTGAAGTGAAACGGGTATCACAACACACATATAAGTTGGAAGTGTATTAAAATCGTGCATAGAATATTATAAATATAGAATACTAGAAATATAGAATAGTGGCAAGAGGCGGCATCAGCTAGGCTGTGTTTACACAAGCCACGAGGCCTACCCCAGGACACGTCCCACAGGGATAAAATACGGAAAATATATAGTGTAATATGGAAATGTGGATCTAGGAATTAGTAATAAAGTGAGTGAGTACCATTGCAAGCCGGAAATTAGTCGGAAAATTCCTTGTAAGAATACAAGCAAAGAATAAATCAGTGTTATAAATCGAGTAACTGGAAACTGGTGACATCAACCTGGGACAACAAGAGGTCACCTGTACCGACCGGGGACCATCTTCGCTACCCTACGCTAAGTACCTGCCATAAAGTTTGAACAAAATAACATACATAATATTACAAATATACGGTATACATATAATATAAATATTAAATATATAAATATGTAAATATATACAGTACATATAATTTTATAAAGAGTTAAAAAGACTGACATCAACAAGTGATCCATACAGTGAAGCACAAATACAATACAATAAATTCATCAGACAATGGAGAGGTGTAGCGAGTGTTCGGGAGTATTGGGAAAACGTAATGCAGGCGTCAAGTGTTGCATCTGTAACATAAGATTTCACCTGGGCTGTGCAGAATTATCTCCAGGATGCACAAAAAGGCAAGGAATTTACTGGGTTTACAAAGATGACAGATTATTGTTGGAGAACATAACTAAACTGATGAAAAACATTCCCGAGTCACAGAGATTATCATTCACAGAAAAGCTACCAGTGATATATGCGGACTGGGAAAAGACAACATTGGATAACGACCAAAACTCAGGAACAGATCGTTTAGAGAACTGCAGCAGTAGTGTGGAGGAAGAGGGTATTGGGGTACAAAATAACAGCAATATTGCAGAGCCAGGTAACATAAACGATGAGAGCAACAGTGAGACAGAGTGAAGGAATTGGGACGAAAGACGGAGATGGCTCCAATAAAGAGGTAGACAAGACAGGCACAGGTATAAATACCTTGAAAAACGCAAAACCGGAACACATTTGCAAATTCTACGCTTAAGGAATATGCAAATATGGAAAATTAGGAGCAAAATGCCATTTTCTGCATCCTCGAAAATGCAGGAACATGTTGGCGAGGGGTGCATGCCGTTTTGGAACAGGGTGTAGATACTTCCACCCTAAATTATGTCAATTTTCAATTAGTTAGTTTAGTTCATTTATTATGCACCCCATACCCATCTTGTGGGCGGTAGTGGAAAGGGTTACAGAGGCACATAATGGGCTCAGGGACTGAACCCCACAATTAATTTAGCTAAGCAAGTTACAATCTTGATGAGCTAGTTACAAAATTCAATATAAGTCGTCACATCAACAATGGGTTCGAGATCGACCTCAAGTACAGGTTCTAAATTAAGCAACTGACATATGTGGAGAGCTAGTGTCACAATTGATATGTTTGTCCCGCACACCGCCCCCCATCCAGTGGGCAGCGGTGGATAGGTTACAATCACTTAGTTACTACCTACAGTTAGCAAACTGGGGATATTTGGCTAAAATTTCTGGTAGCAGATCATTTTGAATGAAATATTGACACATCGCTGGAACATTGGTTATAGAATTGTCTCTAAATTCACGTATCTTTTCGCACTCCATCACATAATGACGGAGGGTGTGCGAATAATTTTGTTGACACAGTTTACATTTGGTCAGGTCTACATCAGTAGATAATGAGAATTCCCAGAGATACTTGTAACCGAGTTACTGTAACATGCTCGTGTCCGAAGCTAGACACAAATACAACAAAATTATTAATTTTCAATTAGGGACAAAAAATGCTACAATCTTCAGTGTCCGGAATTGAGAGCATTTAAGGATGATAAGGAGTCACTTACAATTAATGTATCAAGTTTGGAGACTTGTACAGCTATCAGAATAATAACAAACTCTGCTTTCAGACAACACTCAGCCCCCTTGTTTAAATCCCTTAACTTGCTAAATATTAACTCCCGCCACACATTCTCTTGGGTCAACTACATTTACAAAACCCTGTTCTTAAATGCAAACCATGCTCTGAAACTCTCCCTGGACAGATGTAATAGGATCCATTATCACCACACCAGAAATAAATATCTCTTTGATATCCCCAGGGTCAAACTTAATCTGTGTAAACACTCTATGCAAATTAAGGGGCCTAGTCTATGGAACTCACTCCCTAGTGAATTGAAAAGCTGTCAAACTTTTGCCTCATTTAAAAACAAAAACAAAAAGTACCTAATTTCATCTTCGTAGTTTCCTACACCGAGCTTTAAATTTGCGCTGTATCTAGTGCTACCCAATCTTCTAATCTTTATGTACTTAATCCAATCAACTTTATCATTGTGTTCATTGCTGTCTTCTTTTATGTGCTAGCCATATGCTGTACTGTGCCTACTAATTTTTTGTTAAACTACCATTCAAGCTGTCATTGCAATCAATCTGAGCCACCTATGTGCTTTAATATACCTACAATTTTTCTCTCATCTTTTATTTTTTTTCTTGCTATGTAACTGTTATCATTTTTATAAATTTTGCAAGTATTTACCTACTTGACATCACTCGGTACTCCTACTCAAATCTCTGAATATGTTAGATATTAAGTCACTGCACATTCTCTCATGTGTATTATACATATATAAAACGCTGAACTGTAATGCCAATCCTGACCTCAAAAGCTTCATTGAAGGTTGTAACAGATCCCATGAGCACCACACCAGAAATAAATTCAGTTTTGATATTCCAAGAGTACGACTTAATCAAACTAGAAATGCTCTACAAATCAAGGGACCCAGAATGTGGAATGACCTTCCCAACCATGTTAAAGACT